GATCCAGCACCAGCGCATCCATACGGGTGAGAAGCCCTATAAATGTGAGGTCTGTAGCAAGGCCTTCTCCCAGAGCTCTGACCTCATCAAACACCAGCGCACCCACACGGGCGAGCGGCCCTACAAGTGTCCCCGTTGTGGCAAGGCCTTCGCCGACAGCTCTTACCTGCTTCGCCACCAGCGCACCCACTCTGGTCAGAAGCCCTACAAGTGCCCGCACTGTGGCAAGGCCTTCGGTGACAGCTCCTACCTCCTGCGGCACCAGCGCACCCACAGCCACGAGCGGCCCTACAGCTGCCCCGAGTGCGGCAAGTGCTACAGCCAGAACTCGTCCCTGCGTAGTCACCAGAGGGTGCACACCGGGCAGAGGCCCTTCAGCTGCGGCATCTGCGGCAAGAGCTTCTCGCAGCGCTCGGCCCTCATCCCCCACGCCCGCAGCCACGCCCGCGAGAAGCCCTTCAAGTGCCCCGAGTGCGGCAAGCGCTTTGGCCAGAGCTCGGTGCTGGCCATCCACGCCCGCACGCACCTGCCGGGCCGCACCTACAGCTGCCCCGACTGCGGCAAGACCTTCAACCGCTCGTCCACGCTGATTCAGCACCAGCGCTCGCACACGGGCGAGCGGCCCTACCGGTGCGCCGTGTGCGGCAAGGGCTTCTGCCGCTCGTCCACGCTGCTGCAGCATCACCGGGTGCACAGCGGCGAGCGGCCCTACAAGTGCGATGACTGTGGAAAGGCCTTCTCGCAGAGCTCCGACCTCATCCGCCACCAGCGGACCCACGCGGCCGGCCGGCGCTGACCTGGGGCCCCGCCCGGGGCTGGGGAGGTGGTGGGCACAAGAGAAGGGGCCGGGGAGCTGGAGGAAACCCTTTAGAGGGGACAGTGGGAGAGCCGGGGGGAGGACGGAGGAGTCTAGGGCCAGGGTGCCGGAAGTTGCGTGCCCTGGAGACTTATGGGAAATGGGCTGGGAAGAGGGGTTGGAGAGAGGCCAGGCAGGCAGTGGGAGGTTCTGGGAGAGATCAGGAGAGAGGTCAGCAGAGAGCTGGCCTCGGCGGCAGCGTGCCCCTCGGCGGGTGGTGGGTGCCTGGCGTGGCAAAGCGCTAGGCGGGGCTTGGGGGGAGGGGGGAGGGTTACTTAATTAGAGGGGGGTAGCTTAGATTGGTAGCTCCGGAGACCCTCCTTGCGTCAGGACGGGGTGAGGGTAGGTGGGGTGGGGAGTGGGCCCTGCGGCGGGGCTCGGGCCTCAGTGCAAACCCCAGCCTCCCTTGTCTTCCTCAGGCTTGGAGCCCCTGAATTTGAGTTCAATAAAAACCTTTATGTGGCAAAAGAGACTGGTCCTTAAAATGGGTGCAGGGGCAGTGCCCCGGGCAGCGGGAAGCACTTCAGTGATATAAGTACACGGAGCCAGTGAAGCCGTAGGGTCCTGTCTGGGAAGCGCTTTTATGTTCCAAGTTTCCCTGGAATCTTAGAATCTGATGCTCAGGAGACGTGACCCGCCCATATATCCCCGAGTTTTGTCTCATGCTTTGAATCCTGCACAAACACACAGGGAGCCCAGTGTGGGAGGGGTGAGAAAGCCCTCGACTTTGTGGGTTATCCCTTTCACCAAACACAGAGGGTCTGTCCTTGGGCCAGAGAACAGACCCTGTTCTCATAGCCAGGCATAGAGCCTGTGTTCCATCTCTTTTTGGCTCCCTGTGTCTAGCTGTGCCATCCTCCTCTCCCCTCCCCAGCCGGAACCTCCGGCCATCACTTTGTGCGGACCCCGAGTGCCCAGAACCACAGAGAGTGCCTGCAGTCCCGACCCCACCTGAAGGGGGCACATAGGGGACCCAGTGAGAGGATTAAACAGCTCGAGCCTTTAAGACCAACCCACCAGGCTGGGCCTGATTTGCCACACCTCTGCCTCTTTTTTAGGACCCCTGGGCCTATCGGGATCACCCTGCTCCCACCCTGCCTTCATCCTACTTTTCTTTCCTATCTGAGCCTCAGCCCTCCTCATACGTGGCTCTCAGGAAAGAATGGCGAGTCGGTGTTAGCGGTGAGTCTGTGGGATCCTGGGGTGTGGCCCGCCTTGACCTTATTGACATTATTTTTCAAGTAAAATCTCTTGGTCTTTTAAAGACCTTTGTAAACTTTATGCACATTTTTGTACAGATACCCTACCACACATAATTTCAAATATTAAACTACTCCATATTTCATATAGTTCATATACGTAGCCTACAGATGTTAGATAGAACTGCATTTGACTACCTGACATATTACATTTGTAGACATTTACTTTAACACATTTCAATTATACAACTTAATTTTTGTACTTTGGAGCTGTTTTTTTTTCAGCTCCCAAACATGTTTGTAGGCCATTGAAAGCCGGGGGGCCCTGGGCATGGTGCTTGTGGTGCTGAATTGATAAAGGAGCCTGCATGCTACTTATGAGCCTTAGCATTTAAAGCAGGTCAAGTGAGGGGGGCCTCAGCTGCTCGGCCGCCACCCCTCTCTTCCACACAATAGCTCCTGAGGTTCCCTCAGATCCCAGGTGGGGCAAAGCAGCCCAGGAAGGGCATGCATCTCTCTCAAGGTCACCGCAAAGAACTAGGACTCCAGTGCCAGGTCTTTTGCAGTCCAGCGTGCCGCTTTGACCACATCGTCCTGCACAGCTAAACCATTTTTTTTAAAGATTTTATTTATTTATTCATTAGAGACAGAGAGAGAGAGAGGCAGAGGGAGAAGTAGGCTTCCCGCGCAACAGGGAGCCCGATGCGGGACTCGATCCCAGGACCCTGAGATCATGACCTGAGCCGAAGGCAGACGCTCAACGACTGAGCCACCCAGGCGCCCTAAACCATTTTTTTAAAAAGTCATCTTTCCATCCAACGTGGAGATTGAACTCATGACCCCGAGATCAAGAGTCGCCTGCTCCACCGACTGAGCCAGCCAGGCGCTCCACAACTAAACCATTTTTTTTTAAAGATTTTATTTATTTATCTGTCAGAGAGAGAGAGCGAGCACAAGCAGAGGGAACAGCAGGCAGAGGGAGAAGCAGACTCCCCGCTGAGCAGGGAGCCCGATGCGGGACTCGATCCCAGGACCCTGGGACCACGACCCGAACCAAAGGCAGACACTCAACAACCGAGCCACCCAGGCATCCCCACAACTAAACCATTTCTATTCCCCACCTTTATCAAGCACAGATGTACTCCCAAAAGTTCTAGACCACTTGCAAGTGTTATATCATGTTCACAATAGCTCTGAGGGATACACAGTTATCATTCCCATTTTACAGATGAAGAAATGAGTCCCAGCGAAGGTAAGTAGTGGCCCCACCTGGCACAGCTGCAAAGCAGCAGAGCCTGGACTCAAACCTGACTAGTTTTGACTTTTTTCCCAATGATACTAAGGTGTTACTTTTTCACTTTGTGCCACGAGGACGGTGTTTTCCAGAGGCTACATGGCCTGTGAGAACATATGTCATCATTCGGACAGCTTGTGGGCAATGCAGACTTGGGTGTCCATATGTTTTAAATTTTTCTCCATTTGAATTTCTAATTGGACAAACACCAATAGATATAACCCATATAGACAAAAACGCTGGGGATCTTTAATTTTTAAGAGTATAAAGAGGTCCTGAGCCCTAAACATGTGAAGGCCACTGAATCAAACACTTACTGAATGTCTTCTTTGTTGCCAGCCCTGGGGAGGGTTCAGTGTTGGTAACACAAGTGAGCAAAGACTGGATCCTGCCTTCTAGAACCTCCCAGTCTTGAGGGAGGAGCCCACACCGTGTTATGTGTACTGAAGGGGTATAAAGTGAAGATGAAACGGGTCATTTTGTCTAGGAACCGAGGGGATGAGAAAAGCTTGAGAGTGCTTTGAAGTAGGAAGATTTTAAAGGATAGAAAGGGGCTGGAATTGGACAGGCTGGCAAGGGGAACAGCATTTGCAAAGACACGGGCGGGGAAGGACATGTGGGTAATTGAGGACGGGGGCTCTTAAGGGAGCGGGGATATAGATTCCTGGGCAGGTCTGTTCCTGAAATGAACCTCCCAGATTTTCTGTGCTATTTTGCTCCCAACCCTGATGAAAATGTTCACTTTTTGGGTGTCTGTCACAGAGCATCAGCGACGTAAGAGGACCCTCCCCATCACTCTCCAGCCTGCTATCCTGCTTTATCTTCTTCACAACCCCTCCGCCACGTGGAATCACATTTCTACCTTTTCACTCTGTTTTCCCACTGGGGTGATGCTTCCTGGGGGCAGGGACTTGTCTGTCACGTTCATCACCGTGCCCTCGGGGCACAGAGCAGGCCCTGACACAGAACTCTCAAGAAATACTGCGTAAGGGCGCCTGGGTGGCTCAGTTGGTTAAGCGACTGCCTTCGGCTCCGGTCATGATCCTGGAGTCCCAGGATCGAGTCCCGCATCGGGCTCCCTGTTTAGCAGGGAGTCTGCTTCTCCCTCTGACCCTCCCCCCTCTCATGTGCTCTCTCTCATTCTCTCTCTCTCAAATGAATGAATAAAACCTTAAAAAAAAAAAAAAAGAAATACTGCGTGAATCCATAGAAGCCGACGGGCTTCACGAGACCTACAGATAACTTCATGCACTTTTAGCATTTCTGTGGTATTTCTGACCATTAGAACATTTTTCCCCCTCTGGGAAAATGGGCCTCACTTCTTCCTTCCTGAGGTCTTTCTTATGAGCCAGCCCCATGGTTCCTTGGGTGCTGGACCAGAAGGGGGTTGAGGAGGTGGAAGAGGCCGGCAGGCTTTGAAATACTGTTCTGGGTCTTGTGTGCCAGGCTCGAGAATGTTCGCTTACACCCTGCAAGCAGAAGGGAGCCCTCAAAGGTCACTGCTTGGGAGACGGAATGTTGCTTCTCAGCTCCCAGTGCTGGACCCAGAGGGCTGGGCTGAAAATTACTCCATATTCTGCCCCCTCCCCTCAACCCCCCCCAGGGTCCTACTGACCACAAGAGGGCAGCAGCGAGGAGCCCCTCTGTCCCTCCTAAAGGTGGGGGCCTCGGGATCAAGCCCCACCAATTGTTTTAGAAAAAGGCCAGGGAGGGTCTATTCTCACACCTTAATGAATTGTCAATGCCTTATGCAGGTCAGTCTCTGAGGGTTGTCATAACAAAAAAGAAAAAGAAAAAAGAAAGAAAAGAAAAAAGAGAAGAGCTGTTTGGGTCCCACTTAGAGAAAGGGTTGAGAAGGAAATGTTCATTTAATTGAGCCAGGCCAGAATGGGGCGCCAGCATAAAAACATCACAAAATTGGACGGATTTTCACATTTATTGGGTAAACATTGGCAGGCACTGTGTTTGGTGCCGGGAGCCGGGTGGACAGACACGGCGGGTGCCTTGAGCTCACAGCCTCCCGGTGGGGGCCACGGTGGGGCGTGGGGCGTCCCCGTGGGGGCTGTGGAGCAAGGAGGCCAGAGCCCAGGGAAAGACCGAGCCTTGAAGGGTGGAGATGCCATGGGCCCACCCAAACGTTTTCTCCATCTTCCCGCTGGCACTCTCCCTAGTTCGGTGAAATTGTGTGCCTGGCTCTGTGATGTTACCAAGGTGAACATGACTGGTACGGTCCCTACCCCCATGGAGTCCATGGCTGGATTTGAGAGATGAGCATTAAGTAGCGAACATGATCCATGCGATGAAGGAGAGTGCAGGAATGTTCCAGGCAGAGGGAGCAGTCTGGGTGAAGGCAGTGAGACAGGAAGGAGCTTGGCTCGTGAGGAAGGCTGGTGTAACTGGAGCTCAGGAAGGGAGGTGGGGAGTCTCTGGAGGAGGCCAGGAAGGCAACAGGGGCCCGAATTTGCACTGGCATGTTAAGGATATTCTGCAGATTCTGGAAGGCATGCTCAGGAACTTGGTCTCCAGCCCCAGAGCAAAGTAGTGACACGGATCAGGTTTGCTCTCCGGCAGCACACGGAAAGCTGACAGGACTCCGGGCAGGAGAGAGTGAAGGGCAAGGTTCTGGGGGTCTGAGGCCCCTGGGGACATCCAAGGGCAGGTGGGTGTGAGGGCCGGGAGAGTCACTAGGTCCCGAGATGACAGTTTTTCCAGATTTAGAGCACATACTGTCTTCCAGGGGAGGATACTAAGAAGGACCGGGGCCAGCCAGAGCCAGCTGACCATGACAAGGCCTCCCCTCCGTGGCCTGCCCGCCCATCCCTTAGGGGCCCTCACCATGAGCCCGCAGAGCAGGCAGGCAGGAGTGAGCGCCATGTTCCAGACAGCGACACGGAGGCCCAGGTGGGGGCAGTGACTTGCCCGAAGACACACAGCGAGACACAGGTAGAGGCCGAGGGCCAGCCAGCATACCGAGTCCAGTTGTGGGCCCTCTGCGTCAGGCCGGGGCCTCAGTCTTTGCCGTCCCCATCCTGGGCCTCCTCCTTGTGGAGGGGTTCCAGGCAGCCCGGGTCCCCAGCCTCTTCCTCGGACACTGGCTTCTCAGAGTCTTCTCTAGGGATTCCACTGGAAGCTTCTGCAGTAGCCTCCATCTTCTCCTTCAGGTTCCGTTTGAAGAAGCCAAACTGCAGGAAGACAAAACTGGAGTGAGAAAAGTCCATGGAACACTCTGGACCAATCGGCCTCGGCAAAACATCAAAGCACCCTTCATGGTAATGAGTCGTGCGTGCCACGGGTGCATGGTATCCTCTCCAGGGACGGGGCGAGCTTCCTGGCAGTATGTTGAAAAGCTGTATGTTTAACAGTTTATTCTTCAGGCTCATCAAAATGTCACGGACCAATATTTGGGGTGGGCGGTCTGACAATATCCGGGAATACTCACAGCGATAGCCTGCGCTTACATGGTGCTTCGTATGGGCCACGTACTCTCTGTTGAAAGCTCAGAACATATGTATTCTTTTTTTTTTTTTTTTCCCAAAACGTATATATTCTTTGGCTTAGCCATTCCAGCTCCAGGAATTAATTCTAAAGAAGTTTTGGACAAGTGTGCAAAGATGTGGGAGCCAAGAGCCATTTTTGGTCACTGTTTAAAATAGGTGGCAATTAGGGGCGCCTGGACGGCTCAGTGGGTTAAGCATCTGCCTCTGGCTCAGGTCATGATCCCAGGGTCCTGGGATGGAGCCCCAAGTTGGGGGGGGGTCCCTGCTCAGTGGGGAGTCTGCTTCTCCCTCTCCCTCTGCCCCTCCCCCCGCTTGTGTTCTCCCTTGCTCTGCTCTCTCTCTCTCTCTCCTCTCTCGATCAAATAAATAAATAATCTTTAAAAAAATAGGTAGAAATTACAAACAATCTAAATGCTTATCAGTGGGGATCTTGTCTAAATAAAAGGTGGGCCATCCAGACAGCAGCAAACCAGCCAGGTTAAAGAATAAGAGGTGCATGTGACTGTGCTCACACGGAGAGACAGCAAGACAAAATATCCGGCGGGAAATACAAGCTCCCAAGCAGTTTATATGGTATCCTTCCATTTATGTTTTCTTCTCTCTTTTTTTTTTAAGATTTTATTTATTTGACAGAGACACAGCGAGAGAGGGAACACAAGCAGGGGGAGTGGGAGAGGGAGAAGCAGGCTTCCCGCAGAGCAGGGAGCCCGATGCGGGGCTTGATCCCAGGACCCCGGGATCATGACCTGAGCCAAAGGCAGATGCCTTAGGACTGAACCACTCAGGTGCCCCTAAACCTTTTATTTTTTTTAAGATTTTATTTATTTATTTGACAGAGAGGGACAGCGAGAGAGGGAACACAAACAGGGGGAGTGGGAGAGGGAGAAGCAGGCGGAATTCCAGTTAAGCAGGGAGCCGGATGCGGGGCTCGATCCCAGGACCCTGAGATCACGACCTGAGCCGAAGGCAGACGCTCAACGACGGAGCCACCCAGGCGCCCCCCATTTACGTTTTCTACCTGCGTACACAAACACTGACTTTTCTCTTTGTTTCTCTCATGCTCACACGTATACACATATTTAAACAACAAAATTAGAACCTGGAAGAACAGAAACCGAATGGTTGTTAGCAACAACCCTCTGGGAGTGCAACAGGAAGAAAGCGATTTTCTGCGTTGTCTTTTGCTGGACTATTTGAGGGTTTCATCTGGAACATCTGCCCTCTGGCATTCTTCACCCGGCGACTCCTCCTTCAAACCCCAACTCAAATGCCTCCTCGCCTGGGAGGCCTTCCCGGACTCCCCCAGCCTAAGTGAGGCTCCAGCGCAAAGGCCCTCGAGTGGAGCCCTTACCACGTGTGTGCCCCCATTAGACTGTGAGCCCCCCAAAGGCAGGGACCATGTCTGTGGGATGTCGCTCTGTCCCAGGGCCCGGCCCTTGAGATGTGGGCGCAGCCCCCTTCCCCAGGTCCCCAGTCCTGGCTCTGCCAGTGCTTGGTGGAGGGATGGGGGGAAGTCTCCCTTGCTCTTTGGGCCGCACGAGCCTTATCTGTAGAGGGAGGGAGGAGGCTGAGGCCGCCTCTAGCTTTAAGCTCCCTGGTCCTGGCATTCTCCGCCCCGCCCCCCGCGAATCCCCTTTCCCAGCCTGGTTGTCTCAGGCAGGCGCGGCTCCCAGCAGCCCCCACCTTGTGGAGGACAGCGAAGATCACAAGCAGCAGCAAGAGCCCCCCGATGCCGCTCAGCACGTACACGTGGAGCATTTCCTTCTCGTAGACGATGTCAACCTTCATGATGACCTGCAGGAGGAGAGAAGGGGCTGTAAGGAGAAGGCTCTCCCACCTCCGACATGCTTGTGCATGGCGAGGTCGCCGCGTTTCTGGTCGGGACTGCGGCCCGCCACCGCCAGGCTGGCCTGGACGCCTCTCCCCAGTGAACCTCCCCGTGCAGCTGCCCGAGCGAGCTGGTAAACGTGCACACCACCCATCGGAAGCCCTGACATGGCTTCCTCGGGCCCAGAATGAAATGCCAGAATCTCAGCTCAGCATGCAAAACCTTCCAGGATCTGGCTGAGGTGCAGCTTCCCTTCCCCTGCTCCGAGCTTCCTGCCTGGGTGGCCTGGGCCCCCACACGAGCTGCTTGCTCTGCTTCGAGCACTTTCCCGTCATGCTCAGAGTGGGCACGGGGTGGGTACCCTTTGCTGAGCTGCCATCGAATTGATCTCTGCCTGACACGTCTCAGACGGGTGACCGTGGGGCCCGCTTGCCAAGTGGTGGCGGGGCGCCCACGGCATCCAGCACGGCCTTCGCCAAGGCCCACAGCTCTGAGCGCCGGGAAGCTCTTCCTTCTGGGCCCAGCCCACACCTCCCACGGGGCCCTCCTGCTTCTGGGTCGAGCTCTTCCAGCTCTGCCCTGGGGCTCCACGGAGCCCTCTGCTGCCCTCTGTTCCCGAAGCTTCTGAGGAGGCAAAGCCATACCTGGGCCAGGGAGGCATTGCTGCCGTAGAGGTGGAAATGCTTGCTGCTGTTGAAGGAGATGGAGAGGGAGCTGCAGAGGCTGAACATGGAGGGGGCCTGCGGGAGGGGTGGGGGAGACGTCAGGCCAGGGGAACAAGGAGTAGAGCCCACTGACCTCTGCACCCCACCTCGACTGAGGGGGAGAAGCCGAGGAGAAGGGGCCGCAGTGGGGTGCACCACGGCTTCTGAGTTCTCTACCGTAGCATCCTAATGGGCCACGTCCCACGGCTGGAAGGAAAGTTTTCCTACAGAGAACCCAGAAGAACCCTCCATAGACCCATGAAAACAGCCCTGCAAATTTCAAGCAAATCATGGTTCTCTTTCATCTGCCGCTATGGAAATATCAGGGCTTTGCATCCGGGTACTAGAGAAAAATGCAGGAAGCCCATCTGGTGGGGAAGCCCACAGCTCAGCCCTCGGGCTCTCCCCACCCCCTGCGTCTGTTGCCAGCAGGTGCTACCTCGATCTCTCCCACCAGCTCCACAGTCCCGGTCACTTGGACGAGGATCTCCTCCTTGAAGACAAGTGGGCAGTGGAACTTGGCTCTGGGCAAACAAGGCTGCCAAGAATGAAGAGAGCAGGGGTCAGTGAGGCCTGTCTTCCCACCTGCACTCTGTCAGCCCCCACCCCAACTTCTGAGCCCATGGGCCCGGACCTCAGCCACACTGGGCAGCCTCTCGAGATCCTCACGACGGCAAGTCACAGCAGGCTCCTAGGAATGATGAGACGGGGCCTTCGGTTAGTCCAGAGCAGAGAGAGGATGCTGGCCCCTTAAGGCCAGAACGTGGCCTCCCTCCCCACTTGCCAGATCTGGGGCATCCCAGTTCACTCCCACTGGCTCTTGGCAGATTCGGAAATCACTGAGCCCAGCAGGATGCATCCATCCTCACTCCCTTCCCACACATCTGTACCCCTTTATGGGCTCACTCCCACCGACCTGGGTGTCTCTCCCCTCTCTGGGCAGTACTCACCATCTGCACACTCCACTTGTGTGTGATGGGCCCCTCGTTGTGAGGCCCCGGCACTCCAACCAAGGCCTCCAGGGCAGGCATGTTGTGGTCATAGACAGAAGGCTGAATCCTCACCTAGGACAGAGGACACGGGCCCGCAGAGCCCTAAATGCCAGCCGCCCCTCCAGCTGCCCCTCCAACCACCCCTCCAGAGGCAATCCTCACTGGCTGAGGCCCGAGGGACGCGTTGGGGAGACGTCAGGCCAGCACGGGATACCTATGCCCCTCTGCCTTCTCCTCGGGGCAGACCCTCGCACACCCGGCAAGGTACCACTCAAGTATCGTCTCTGATGGTTCGGCTGACGCCCCCAGGCGAGTGCGGCTACCCCACCATGTGTTCCCACAGCACTCCCCGTTCCCAGCAGGACGTGGGTCTGTCTGTCCACGGACTGCACGCTCCGTGAGGGCAGCCCCTGTGGCTTCTTTCCCTAGCAATTCCCTGCTGCCTGACACACTACTTAGCACACAGCAGGCCTCCAGAAAAATCGATGCCTGAATGAGCGAAAGAAAGAACGAAGGGCGTTTAACAAGGATAGACACAAAAATTGTTGGCACAATGCAGGTTGGGAAGGACTCACTTTGGCGAGGGCACTGAACTGATTTAAGAAACAAGTCCTGAGTACCTTTTAGATGAAAGGGCCAACTGTGCGAGGCCTGGAAGACCCAGAATCAGAGAAGAAAGTGACTCAGGAGTAGCACCATGGAGCCACGGCTCAGGGAGGCCAAACAGGGAAACTAATATCCAGTTGGAGAGGTTCTACCATTAGACAAACATTTGTGGACGCTTGAAAAAGATCAGGTATGTTAAATTGAAAAGGCCTAACGTCAGAGGCAGCATTTGACTTTAACCGTGGAAGACAGAGAGGACTGGAACAGATGAAGATGGCGGAAGGCACCCAGGAAGCGAAAATGTGGGGAGTCAGGACAGCACCAGGCAAGTGTGACGCAGAGGGAGGTAGGGGGCCTGGGACAGAGAGGAGGTAGGACATACGTCTGGAAAGGAGACTTGGGGTGAGACTGTGTGCCCAGAAAGCCTAAGGCCAGAAATCAGGGGACCCTCAACTAGGCAAGGCGAGTCACGGAAGACAGCTAAGGAGGGCAGGCTCTGGGGGGCTCCCTCACGCCAGGCCCAGAACGGAAAGGGGCGGGGAAGGCAGGCAGAGATCCAAGCTGGCAGCCTGTGCCAACAGCTGTAAGAGGGAGAGGAACCTGAGTCTGAACAGTAGTGGGGGCCAAGGAGACAAGGGAACACGGAATAGAAGTTGAGGAGGCAGGGGGGCCCGGCACGGAGGAAGGACAAATTCACCCAGACTTGGAAGTTTTGCTTGAGGAAAAGGGTGCTCTTGAGCACCCCTCCGGTGATGCTGGCTTAGGGGAAAGTGATACATTTGGTTTAGAACATGTTGAGACAAAGCTTCAAGAGGAACAATTGCACTCCTAGGTATATACTCAAGATAAATAAAACGGGTCTGCACCAAAACTTGTGCAGGAACGTTCAAGCAACACGGTCTATAAAAGCCAAAAAGTGGAAACCACCGAGATGCCCACCAGCTGACGCCCGGACAAATCTAGCTCGGCCTAGCTCACGATGTAATATTATCTGGCAATAACAAAGAATATAGAACTGGCCCGGGCTACAACGCGGATGACCCCTGAAAACACCATGCGAACTCAAAGAAGCCAGTCACAAAGACCCCATACTGTAGGATTCCTCCCCTACATAAAGGTTCTTTCTGGAATAATGAAAATCTTCTAAAATTAGATTGTGGTGATGATTGTACAACTTTACTAATATACTAAGAGCCACTGAACCATATGCTTTATTATTATTATTATTATTATTATTTTAAATGTTTTATTTATTTATTCATGAGAGTCAGAGAGAGAGAGAGGCAGAGGCAGAGGGAGAAGCAGGCTCCCAAGGAGCAGGGAGCCCGATGCGGAACTCGATCCCAGGACCCCGGGATCATGACCTGAGCCGAAGGCAGACGCTTAACCATCTGAGCCACGCAGGCGCCCCATGCTTTATTATTTTTTTTAAAAGATTTTATGTACTTATTTGAGAGAGAGACAAAGAGAGCACAAGCAGGGGGAGGGGCAGAGAGAGAGGGAGAGGGAGAAGCAGATTCCCCGCAGAGCAGGGGGCCTGACTCAGGGCTCAATCCCAGGACCCTGAGGTCACGACCTGAGCCAAAGTCAGACCCTTAAGGGACTTAGCCACCCAGGTGCCCCTGATCTGTACAGGTAAATCAGGGGCGCCTGGGTGGCTCAGTCAGTTAAGTGTCTGCCTTCGGCTCAGGTCATGATCCCAGGGTCCTGGGGTCAAGCCCCGCTTCGGGGCTCCCTGCTCAGCGGGAAGCCTGCTTCTCCCTCTCCCTCTGCCCCTCCCCCCATTTGTGTACTCTCTCTCTCTGAAATAAAATCTTTTTTTAATAAAAGCAGGTAAATCGTATGAACTGTGACTTTTATCTCATTCTATCATAAAGCTGTTAAAAGGCGGAAAAAGATGCTCGAGGGCATCTGGGCGGAGAGCAGTGACAGGCTGCGGGGCCAGGAGCGCCGGGGGAGCAGGAGGGTCGTGGTGCGGAGTTGCGAGCTGGGAGGGGGACTCGAACTGTGGGAACGCATGCCGGGCGGGCAGTGAAGATGGGGCGCATGGGGAGACGCACATAAGAACGATCGCCATTTGCTGAATGCTCAGCTCGCTGGGCATCCTGTGGTTCTGGCCGAGTGCCGGCGTCTGTGGCGGGCAGCACTGTCCCCGTGTCACAGAGGGGAGGACTGAGGTTCAGGGAGAAGAATCTGTCTGAAGTGATCGGGGAGCAGAGCGGGCATCTGAACCCAGGCTGCGCCTCCAGAGACTGGATGGGCTGTGCTCTATCACCTTCCTTGGATGATGGACCCACCCAAAGTAGGTGCGGTTATCATCCCCATTTTACCGATTGAAAAACTGAGGCTCAGAGAGGTTAACTAAACTGCCCAATGCCACACAGCTTGAAATGGCAGAGCTTTAAAAAGATTTCAGGTCTGGCTGAAGCCTTTGTGCCTAACCGGCCTGGGGAGAGGGAGACCATGAGGAAGACCCCATGGGCCGGCTGCCCAGCTCTCACTGGATTACCATGCCTGCTGAGCTCACAACAGACCCCAGCTGACCTCCCTGTGGCAAAAGGGGCCTAACAGGAGAGCTTCCGGCAAGAGGGAAAGATCCCCAGTGTCCCACGCCTAGTTGGGTTTCGTTAAAACAGACATCATCAGGGCCTTTAGCAAGAGTGGCTGCGCGGTGGGCCAGGCGGCAGGGAGCCAAATGCAGAGCTTAAGATGCTGGAGGGTGCTGATGTGGCTGGAGGTGGCCGGAGGCATCTGGCTCTGATGACTATCCCGAGAGAGAGAGAAATGGGGTGTGTGGGGGCAGGGGGGAGCGCAAAAGGTTTGAGTTGGTTCCCAGAGGAGTGGGGCAAGAAGGGAAGCAGGCTTCCACAGTCGCTGAGGAATCTCCAGGCTGGGGCCCAAGACCCGCCTCAGCCATTAACAGCCTCCACTCCCCAGGCACCGGGCCAAGCACTCCACGGGGAGTTAGTACCCCACCTCAACCTCACAACACCTGCAAGTTCTCGTTCCGAATGCCATTTGTCACAGCAAGGAACTGAGGCATGGACAGTTAAGCCCTTGGCCCAAGGTCACACAGAGATCCAGGGGTAGAGTTGGGGTTTGGATCCATGCCTGTCCAAGTCTTTCCCACTATTCTGCTGGCAGAAGGACTAGTCTGCCAACCTCCTTGGGGAACCCAGAGGCATCCCAGCGAACAGCACTAGAAACCAACCCTACTGGCCATTCTCTATGCAAATGGGCATCTGACCTCCCCAAGGGCCCCTCTCCTCCATCATCTATTCCAGAGGAGATGGCTCCAGCCTCTGTTCTAAATGGGCTACCTGCCTGGGGTCCCTTTCCTGCTGGGTTCCTGCCCCAGTCTGCCCTGACGCCAACATGGCCTTGGGAAAAGACAGTTTCTCTTTGGGGCCTCAGTTTCCTCCATGGGAAAACAAGAGTGCCTTCGGCAGTCAGTGCCTACTCCTCTCTGAGGTTACCTCTAAAAAGGCCTTAGACTCCTGGAGCTTTAGTCTCAGGGGCTGGCCTCCCTCTTCTTTGTTCCCGTGAAGATTGCTATTACAGCTCCGAGCATATGGCATGAGAAGTGACAGATCATTAACACAGAGGTTAAACACATGAAATTTGGTATTCCAATAAGTGCTGGAATCTGACCTTTCCCCTTTAAGTGGCTGGGTAACCTGGCAAGTTACTCGGCCTCTCTGTGCTGTGGATGTCTCATCTGCACGCTGGGAATGGCCACGCCTCTACCTTCTGGGGTGAGAATCACAGGGGAGGGGGTCACATCTATAAAGCACCAGGCAGAGAACTGGGTCAGGGGCCCTGACGGACTTAGGTAAGAGAAAAGTACCTAGACTAGAACTGTGGCTCATTGAACGTGTGAATGAAAATCTAGGTTCTCTCTCAGAGTGCTTCTGGCTCTCAAGCTCTGCGATCCCACGAAGGATCCAGTGCTGGAAATGAGCTGGAAGCACTTCCGTGGGGGCTGTGAGGAGCTCTAGAAAGGATCACGGGATGAGGCGGAGGGCGCCGGGTTCGCCGAGGATGAGGCTCGTGTCTCTGCAGCCTCCACGCTTTCCTCAGGATGGGGCTGGAAACCGTGTGACCCAGAAGGGCCTTTTCACACGGAGGTTCATACCTGGTAGAAGTGTTTGACAAGGTGGCTCTTGGGACCCTTGGGGGTGAAGCTGACATACAGTGTGGAGTTTTCCTTGCTGTGGAGAGAGGGAAGAGCAGAGGTAGAAAGAGGAGAAGACAAGGACCCAATCTCCAGCAGGGCAGGGGCCCGGGTCAGGGGAAGCCTCTGAGGGAACCCCCCAGGGACCACGCAGCCTTGCTCTCATGTAACCTTCCAGCGCTCTGCTGTTTCCCTTTGGAAAGTGAGGTTCGTGGAAGGGGTCCTGTCTGTTGCCCGGAGTCCTGCCGTGGAGGGCCAGGGCTGGAACCCAGGCGGATGTGCCTTTAGAGCTGTATGCTCCCCGCCACACAGGGTCCCCACCTCAAGAGGGTCTCCACTGTCCTCTGGGTCCTTCATCTCCCACATAATGGCACCAGCCTCTGGCTTCCTCGCCATCCCATCCTTCCAATGACCTTCCTAACGTCACTGTCTGATCCTGCCACCTGCCTACTCAGAATCCGCCAATGGCCCCCTGCTGCCCGCAAGGGTCAGGCCCACAGCCCCCCATGTCCAGTCCTGCCCGCTGCACCCCACACACACCTGTTGTCCCCCACACCTGTGCGCTCCCTGCTCCCCAAATTTACCCCACTGCTTGCTGCTTCGTCTACGCTCTTCTCTCTCTCTCTCTCTCTCTCTCTCGGGAGAACGTCCTTCCTCCTCCCTGGCCCTTATCTGAACCCCCTCATTCCCCAGGCCCCAGTTTAAGCCCCCACCTCTCCATGAACCCTCCCATCACTCCTCCAACCCAAATCACCTCTCCTGGCTCTAATTTCATATCGCACTCCAGATAATATCATTGTGTTTGGCATTTGCCTTCAAAAGCACCAGAGACCTTGGCTCAGTCACTGTCCCTGTCCCCCTCTCACTGAGCCAACCTGAGAAAGCTACTCTGCTTTTCGGGCTTCATCCTCTTTTCTGTAAATGAGAAAATCCAACTGGGGATTCCCATGGGTCCTTCCCACCATAACCTTGTGAGACTCACTGATTCTGTGTACGCGTGAGCTTGGCCTCTCCTACCGGACTATGAGCTCTCTGTGGGCAAGAGCCATTGCGAACAGTTTCTCCTTCTCTCTCCCAGTGCTCCTGGCCCCCAGGAAGCGGGGGGCATCTAGCACGGGGTTTTGGAGTCAGACAGACCCAAATTCGGACGCCAGCATCAGTGCTTCCTAGCCGTAAGACTCTGAGTGAGTTCCTCCCTTCTCTGAGCCTGCCTGTTCCCTGGTAACATGGAGAGAGGCACAGCTGCCCCCTGAGGGGCTGAAAGCTCCAGGGGAGGCCCCAGCTGTGCACTGCGGCGAGCACAGTGTCTGAAATAAGGTCAACACTCCGTGTGCTTTTTCTTCCATCAGTAAACCATTGATCTCAGAACTCCTAAAGGGCCTCCACTCTTTGTTTGGGGTGTTGAAAACTCTTGGGGTTGTGGCTGGAATCAGTTCTAATTACCCCTGGGGGGCCAGAGGAAAGGAGGAGGCTCTGAAGGAGAGCCCCGGGGGGCAAGGCTGAGCCCTGGGTGGGGGAGGTGGAGGTGGGAGGAAAGGGCTGGTGGGCGGCTCAGGACTTACTCCTCAGTGAGGATGTTGATGGGGTACAGGACGGGGATGCTGGTGGCGGCCAAGTTGTTCCCCAAGACGTCTGAGTCCTCATTGTCACTGCACGGGGGCAAGGCAGAGGCCAGTGTTAGGAGAAGCGCGTGGCCAGGACCGTGTGGCCGTCTGCGAGCCGGGGCGCCTGCCTGGGGCCTGCTCACCAGCTCACATTGGCGTGCAGCTCGACAAAGTCCCCCCAGGAGCTGTTCAGCAGCGTATGAAACATCACCTGGATGACAACCTGGCAGGGGAGGAGAGGGCAATGAGGAGGGAAGCACCTCAGGGCCCCCAAGCCCAACTGCTGTGAGACTGGGGACCACTGTTATTTAGCCCCATAAATAGGTGTTTTATCCCCATTGTACAGATGAGGATCCAAAGTTCCAAACATTTAAGTCGCGTGTAAGGTCACAAAATGAATAACCCAACCCCAGGTTTGTCTGATTCCAAAGTCCAAGCTGTCATTCCCTTTGGGGTAGGAGGGGGGAGCTTCTTTACCCATCACCTGCACCCTTCCCTCCCTACCTCAGCCCAGAGCCCCTTGGTGGCGGCTTGGCTCCTCGGGGTTTGAGGCACTCACCGAGCTGCTTGCTCTGAAGATGGGAGAGCTCACGTTGCAAGAGAGGATCCTGGTCAGAAGCTCAGATACCTCGGGAAGCTCCTCGCAGCTCACAAGTATCTGGCTGTGGGGCTGGGGGTGAGAAGAGAAGGAACAGACTTCTTAGTGGGCAAGGCCAAGGTTCCCGGAGGCCACCAACCCTCAGGGCCCACGTCCCCCTGCTCTGTCCCTGCCAGGGCATATTCTCAGGGGGAGGGGGGGAATCAGGGGCACAGCCAGAGGCTTCATTCAAAGATGTCCACCACAACGCTATGTATAATTGTGAAAATCCAGAAGTGATCCAACAGTTCAAAGAGCTAGGAATGGTTCGGCACGCTGAACGATCCCAGGCGAGGATACAGTGAGATCTACACAGTCAGCAACCATTTTTAAAGTGAGCTCGAGCCTTGATCCTGGGCTAAGCAGCATAGAACCATTCATCTTCACTATCATCTGGGAGGACGGATCTCAGCCTCAGATCGGGGAGGGACTTCGATAAGGAAACAGAGGCTTGGGCAAGTCTGGTGACTTCCCCGGGTCCCACCCCTGGGTCATCTGGCAGGGATCTGGTAGGAAAGTGAACACAGGTCTGTCTGACTCCGGATCTCGAGTTCTACACCACTCTACTAGATGCCCCGTGAGGAAGCATTTAATGTTGCTGGGTGAGAATAATTCAAATGTCCACCGACAGATGACCGGATAAACAAAATGCGGTCTATCCATACAATGGAGTATTACTCAGCCTTAAAAAGCAAATTGGCCCATGCTGTCATATGGATGCACCTCACAAATGCCATGCTAAGCGAAGAAGACAGACATGAGAGGACAATATCCTATGATTCCACGTCTGTGAAAAATCTAGAATCGGCCAATTCACAGAGACGGAGAGTAGATGAGAGATGACCAGGGGTGAAGGGTGGGGAATGGGGAATTACAGCTTTTAATGGATTGAGAGCTTCTGTTTGAGATGATGGGAAAATTCTGCAAGCAGATGTGCTTGTGGCACAAGATCGTGAATGTTCTCAGTGCCACTGAATTGTACGCTTGAAAAGGGCTAAAGTGGCACATTTGCTATTACATATATTTTACCACAATAACCGTTTGTTTTAAAACCAAGGAGGAAAAATAACCAAATGGAGAGCAAATTGCCAATCAGTAAAAACAAGTACAGGATGAATGAATATGCAACGTAATTTATATGTATGTGTGTAGATACACAGCACGATAAACACTAAAATATTAAAAGTAGTAAGTGCTGAGTTGTAGGAGTATGGGGTGACAGTCTTCTCTAAACTTCTCTGTGATTTCCAGCTTTCTGTGGTGATCACGTATTACTTCAGCGCTGAGAATTAACAAAGTAAAAGTTGTATTTAAAACAACCCAGGCTTGGTGGCGCCTCGGTGGTTCAGTCGTTAAGCGTCTGCCTTCGGCTGGGGTCGTGATCCCAGGGTCCTGGGATCGAGCCCCGCATCGGGCTCCCTGCTCTGCGGGAGGCCTGCTTCTCCCTCTCCCACAACCCCCTGCTTGTGTTCCGTCTCTCGCTGTGTCTCTCTCTGTCAAATAAATAAGCAAAATCTTTAAAAAAATAAAAATGAAAAATAAAACAACCCGGGCCACCCCGCAAAAACACGTTGGTCCCCTTTAGGATGGAGGAAGAGGGCGCTCACTAAATCTGTGTACACCTTCTTGGTCACCAGATCCACGAGCCTCTGTCACATTCTCCATTCCACGTGACCCTCTCGCTAGCCCTGCGGGTGTCCCCAGCCTCTCTGGTGGGGGATCTGAGGCCCACGGAGGGTGAGGGTGGCCATCAGGCTGAGAACCCGGATGTGGGCGCAAGGCTTCTGCATGCCTGCTGCTGCCCACATCTTCAGGCTGTCCTGTCTGCCCGAGGCCCTGTGAGGGGAGCCGAAGCTGTGGGGACAAGGGAGGCCTCGGGCAGACCCTGCCTTGGCGCTCACCTTGCGCATCTCCACTTTGCGGAAGGAGAGTCCCTGGGGGAAGCTCAGGTGGAGGTGGACCCAGTACGCGTCTTCTTCCAAGTTATTCAGTATCAGCTCCACAGAGAAGGTGGCAGAGGGGGTCAGACGCAGGACACTGGATCTGGGGGGCAAGACCAGGGAAAAGTTACAGAGGCCCAGGTGAAGGAAGCAGGATCAGAGGCGGGGGCTGTCAGAACTGAGGGATCTGCTAGGCTAGAAAAAAATGAATAGACCCAAATCAGCTCCTGCGCACAGGCTTTGAGTGATTCGACCTCATCTGATCCTGACAGGCGTACCCAAGGGACTGGAATTTCCCCGAGAGGCGAACGAAGGCCCACGAGACAGATCTAGTGAGTACAGACGCGGGTCTTCTGACTCGAAGCGCCCTGTTCTTTCCCGCACCCAGGAGCTGCCGCAGGAAAACACCAGGTGGCACAGGAGGGCCCAGGGGGTTGGAGGCCTCACCGTGCAGAGGAGAACGAGAGCTCCAGGTCTGCCTCACACTTCTTGTCCTCCCCGCAGTTCTTCTCAAAAGGGATCTGAAAGGCCAAGAAGAAAGACTAGGAGACTCAGGCCCCAGCCCCGGGAGGGAGGGAGCCTGGCCTCTCCAGCTGCCTCTCTTTCCCTCTTACCTCCTTGGCCTCTGCGTGTGGTGAGGGTCTCAGGATGGGCCGTATGTCCTTGCCCTGCTGAGCAGAGTGGTGGGAGGGCCGGGAGACAAGACAGGTTAGTTGAGGCAGCAGAACTCTCGAAGGAGGGCTGGAGGGGCTCAGAGCTTGGGGCTCAGCTGGGCTGGCTTGGTCGGCCCCTCTCAGGAGCCAAGGCCCGCCCCAGGCGGCACCTCACCCTCCTGACTCGGCCCCAAGCTCACCTGTGCAGTCCTTGAATGGCAGCTCCTCAAGGGAGGCCGAGGCTCAGGGTGTCCACTGGACAAGAGGACCTGGCCTTGACAAAGCAGCTCCAAAGCTCCTCCTGGCCCATCTCCTTCTTCCCTGGGCTCGCCCGCCAGTGACTAGCTCTTACTGTGGTTCTCCTCGGCAAACCCCAGCTCCCCCCAGAGCAGCTCTCCATCTCTCCTCAGATCAAGGCCAGTTTTCCCAACATTTCTGGGGCTTCTGCTCCAGGCCAGGCCCTGTGCTGGGCACTGGGTATACACACCAGAGAACAAAAGAGACACACTGCCCATCTCCCCCCCTCCACCCCACCCTCCCCGATCTAGGGGGAGAAACGACCAGCATCTTCAAGAGTTTGAAGGGACAAGTACAGGGTATATTCAGAGCCTGCAGAAGGGAATCCTATCTCCCACTGAAATCTAAAGGATGAGCAGGAGAGAGCCTGGTGAGAAGGGAGCGGGAGGAAGAAAGGACAGGCCACACGAAGGCCCGGCCCGAGGCTAGAGAGCTTGGGCCTGTGCGTGCAGCCGGAAGACGCTCAGACCCGCCGCAGTGCTGCGCGACGGGGGCAGGAGACCGCAGCAGGGTCCAGGTTCCCCTGGGCCTTGAAGCCGGTTTGGGAGTTGGGACTTTATCCTGAGGGTAATGGCTTCATAGAAGTGTTCTGTGAGTTATTAGCTGAATGTTCTAGAAAGACTCCAGCCTCCTCCACTTCCAGGCCACCTGCCAAACAACCTCCCCACTCTTCCTTTTTTTTTTTTTTAAAGATTTTATTTATTTATTTATTTGAGACAGAGAGAGAGACAGAGAGCATGAGAGGGAGGAGGGTCAGAGGGAGAAGCAGACCCCCTGCTGAGCAGGGAGCCCAATGTGGGACTTGATCCCGGGACTCCAGGATCATGACCTGAGCCGAAGGCAGTCGCTTAACCAACTGAGCCACCCAGGCGCCCTCCCCACTCTTCCTTAAGGGACAGGGGTCCTGGGGGCCTCTGCTGACTGTTCCCACCCATCCTAAACACAGATTCCCGCCACTCACTAGACCACAGCCAGCCCCCAAATGGGCATCCGGGGCCTCTGTCTTGCTCAGTTGTCCTTCTACAAGAAGCTACGCCCACCTCCTCATCTTCCTTGAATGTAGCACCACACCTTCCCTTATGCTTTTCCCTTTACCTCTCCTCAATCCACCACCCAAAGTTGACTCATTCTGCAAGACCCAGAAGCAGTGACACTTCCCCCAGGAAGCCTTTCTTAAGAAACCGTGAGCTCATGTCTCTTTTTTACCCTGAGTTCCTACTCCACACAGCTCGGCTTTAAAAAAAAAAAAAAAAAAAAAAATTAGTGCCGATGGCAGAGACTGCTGGTTGTCTCCATATACCCTTCCTCTTCATCTGCCTTTAAAACAGAGCCTCCCCTTTCCACGTGGTCATACGGCCACCTGGCCAGGCGGCTGCGCTTCCCAGGCTCGTACTTAGGTGTGGTCGTGTGACCACGTTCTGACCAATGAGATGCAAGGGTAAGCATCACGTGGATTTCAGGAAGGGGTGTGCTCTTGCACGTCTCTCTCACGCCTGCTGTGCTCCCCAACACGCGCAGGCTGCGCCATCTTTGTTGCCTGGGCTCACACGATGCCTTCTCTCTGAACGCCCAGCTCCCCTTCTCTACCCGGGGACTTCAGGGGTCGCGTCTCAGGCAACAGACATGTTGTCTAAGATTCTATTGCCACGCCACATCTACCCTGACCACAGCCTCATGACGGCCCGTCATAACTGTCTGTTGACTTGTCTGACCTCCAGAGCAGACCGTGAACCCCTTGCGGGCAGGCACCATGTTTTATTTACCTCAGTGGAGCCAGTGCCCAGAATAGGGCTCAGCACAGGCAGGTGCTCAATCAACTTTCCTTAAGCACGTGATGAGCATCTGGTGGGCAGGGGCTTTAATTTTTGGCGAGCACGCCATCGTTCCCTTCAAGTCTCAGGAGAGTGAGCGGGCGTGGGCACTCAGCGCATGCTGCCAAAAGCCACGAGGAAGAGTGCACTTAGCAGTCACGTGCTCCAGCTCTGGGAGAGGCCTCACGATGTCATGACTTATTTTATAGGTGGGGACACGGTCCCAGGGAGGGATGGAACTGCTCAGATGTTCATGCCAGGAAAAACAAAATCCACATCTCTGGGCTGGCAGGCCCAGGCTCTTTCCACCAGATCCTGCTGCCTTGAAGCTAAACCACCAGCTGAGTGTCAAGGATTTGAGGAGAGGAAATCTGGCTTTGGCCCTGGGTTTGGGAGTGTGTGGTCCAGCAGATGAGGATAGATACTGTTTCCCTCTTCTTTTACATCATGATGCCCCCCACCCCAATTCGGCTTTGAGGAAACTACCTGCTCTCAACTGAATACCCTTCGATGAGAAGACTGATCAGGGTGCCCTGTCCTGCCTGGAATTTGCTCCTTGAGCAGTATTATTAGGATCCTGGTGAGGTCTGAAGCTGATGCTTGGCAGGAACCTGGAGTAGATTCACAGAAGGGGCCATGTCCTGAAGAGTCCATCCATTATTCCCTCCCCTCAAGAGCCCCCAGAGCCTCCACTGTGGTTCTCCTTCTTCCCAGTCTTGCTTTGCCAAATACAAGCTCCGATACGTTCCTTTCCTGCTGAAGTGGGCTGTATTTGGTTTCTCTTGCTTAAAACCAAAGACTCCTCTATAATACAGTCTTGCTAAACTGAAATTCGACTCTCCCCTGTTTCCTATCAATTCCCCTAAGTCATCTTTTCTTACCGCATGTTGGTGCCTCGGTGTCCCTTCTTCCTCCCAGAGAGAGAAATTTAGGGAGACGTTGATGGGAGAGATGAGGTCTTGAATGCATACCTGAAGGTGATGAGAGTACCACCGATATTGTGAGTTTAATCTTCCAGTTAAATGCTCACCTGGTTCATACTTCACAAATGATGAGATTCTAACATCAGGTGTTTATAATATGCCCAGGGTCGCTTCTCAGCCCGAGTATCTCCCTCAGCCCCAACTCCCATGGCAGACATTGCTAATCAACCACCCCACTTTTCCCATTGAGTCCTGACCAAAGTCCCTGAGTCTCTGTCAAACTGCTCTAGGCAGCCGTTATTGAAGTTTGCACAAGAAAAGAATATTCTAGAATAACTAGAATATCCTAGTTCCTTGAGAACAGTGATGGGTCTTGGCCTTTTATGTTATTACCAGTCCCTCACACTGGCACTTTGTAGGCACCTGAATCATCTTCACCTGAACTCCTTCACCAACCCAAACAGGCAGGCATTATTATCTCCACATTAGAGATGGGGAACATAAGGTCAACAAAGGTAATCCAAGTTTCCTAAGGCCTAGAGCTAGGAAGTGAGCCCAAATCTGTCCAATTCCAAGTCCAAGGTCTTCCCATCATGACACACTATCTCTTCTCTGGCAAATTTATGTTGAAAATCTCCAAATCATGTGGTGGGTACGGGTGGGGTGCAAGGAAGCAGAGGGGCACTGAATGCAGGTATGAATGAGCTAAGATAATGAGCTCATAACTGTTGACACTGGGTGATGAGTATTTGGGGGTTCACTGAGCTATTTTTTTTTTTTGCTTTTATGTTTGAAATTTCCCCATAACAAAAAAAATTAAAACAAACTTCAAAATCTTTTTGTTTTTAGATGGGGGGATGAGGGAAAGAGGGAGAGGGAGAGAGATAATCTCAAGCAGACTCCATGCTGAGCACGGAGCCTGACACGGGGCTCGATCTCACGACCCTGAGATCATGACCTGAGCCGAAATCAAGAGTTGGACGCTTAACTGACTGAGCCACCCAGGTGCCCCCGAACTTCAAAATCTTACACACCAATCCCATACCCAGTCTCTTAATAAATACCTAAGGGATCAGAATAATTTACCATCAACCCTACTTTACACAGGACTGTTAGAAGCAAACTGAATTTGGGCGTCTCAGCAGTTGCTCAAACTGATATTTAAAAAAAGTTTTTCTGCGATGGATGTTACTAATAAGTGACTATGTGTGCCTGGCAAATAAGGATGCACCGCCGTGACGGAATATTCTGTATCTATTAAAATACTTATAAGAAGCTGGGTAGCAGCATTAATATATGATGTGTGGAAAAATCAGGGGGAAAATGGGAAGTATTTTCTAATGGTAACGATGTCAAAACGCCTACGTCCATAGATTGAGGACTAGAGAAAATATGCTAACGGTATTATTACCACTATTGCACAAGGAGATGGTGTAGAGAGATCCAAGGGCCTGTGACCCAGCTGGTCGGTGACCGAGCCGAGCCTTGCACCCACTGCGGTCAGCTCCGCCGCCCCCACACTTCCTAGCGCAGCCCCGATGGCTCCCTTACCGGGAAGTGGAACCAGAACTTGGTGCAGGACGGGTCTCCAGTGACCGCTGTGTTCCCGCTGAGTTCATGTCTCCCTCCTGGGAACAGCCCCCGGCTTCTGGTCCGATGGCCATCCAGCTGCAGAGTGTAAGTGAGGTTGGCAACCAGGAGCCCTGGGCAGGGAGAAAAGGCAGAAGGTGAAGGGTGGGGCCATAAGCAACAGCTCAGGGGAGCAGGGGAACGGCCCTGACCTTGAAATTGGAGGGTGAGAGGCTTGACCTGGAAACACACTGTGATGTTAACTCCTTCTTTCTTCTTGTTACTGGTTGAATAGGAGCATTCCACTTCATGCACTGGGATCTCCGCCGGAGAGAAGGATATCTGAGTGAGGATGTCCACCACAGGCCGGGCACTGCAGAGCGGAAAACAAGAACACTTTCCCTGGGCCTCAACTGCACTCCCAGTCAGACCCGGGGCTCCTTCTACCCGCGTCCAGAGGACTCTCCTCCCCGAAAGCAGACCTCAACAGCACTGTCTCCTCGAAACAGTAATAATAATGGTAATTCATTAGGGCTTCCCAGTTCCTAGTAGCCCTCTGACCCATTTTCCATACGGAAGAGTGAGCTTTGGGGGGGCGGGGAGAGGGACAAGGAGAAAGAGACAGAGAATCCCAAGCAGGCTCCACACCCGGGGTGGAGCCCGCCACAGGGCTCCATCTCACGACCCTGAGCTCATGACCTGAACGGAAATCAAGAGTCAGACGCTCAACCAACTGAGCCACCCAGGGCCCCCAGAAGAGTGAGCTTTTAGAAAGAGAAATCATGTGGAGCTACTTCCGTGCTTATAATGCTTCACTGATGCCACGTGGCCTTTGGAATAAAATCCAAACTTGTTACTATCCGTGTCACACTGCCCGCCTCTCCCATCTTATTTCCTCCCACCCTCTCCCTTGGCTGATGTTCTGGCCAAGTCCAACTTTTGCCTGCCTCATGGCCTCCGCACATCCTGAGCTTTCTACATGGAAGGCTCTTACCCCAGATTTCTGCAAGCCTGGCTCCTTCTCCTTTTCTAAGTCCCAGCTCAGATATCACCTCCTCCAAGAGGCCTTTCTCGGCCACCCCATCTAGAGGAGGTCTCGCCTACTGTTCCATCTCACAGAACGCTGTTCACTTCCCTCACGGCACTCGCCACGAGTTGTAATCACCTCCCTGTGTGCTTAACTTTTTTTTTTTTTTTTTAAAGATTGTGTTTATTTATTTGACAGAGAAGGAGAGAGAGAGCACACAAGCAGAGGCAGAGGGAGAGGGAGAAGCAGACTCCCCACTGAGCAGGGAGCCCGATGCGGGACTCGATCCCAGGACCCTGGGATCATGACCTGAGCCGAAGGCAGACGCTTAACGACTGAGCCACCCCGGCGCCCGTGCTTAACTTTTTATTACAGATTTCCCCACATATACACTCTGTACTCAATGCTTGGTCCAGTATTTAAAACCCAGCAGGTGCTCTAGTCCACTCACTGATGTTACACGATGCCTCCAGTAACTGGAAGACAGGGGAGAGACAGGAATTGTCGTCACCATTTCAAAAATGAGAAACTGAGGACCTGAGGAGCTAAGTGACTGGGGTCAGACCACCCAAGAAGTAAATGGTAGAGCTTTGACCTGAATCCAGGTGACCAGGTTCTATTTTTTTTTTTTTTAAGATTTTTATCTATTTACTCATGAGAGACACAGAGAGAGAGACGCAGAGGCAGAGGGCGAAGCAGGCTCCTCGCTGAGCAGGGAGCCCGATGTGGGGCTCGATCCCAGGACACTGAGATCATGACCTGCACAGAAGGCAGGTGCTTCACCGACTGAGCCACCCAGGCGCCCCAGGTGACCAGGTTCTAGAGCCATCACAGGATGTTGCTTCTCTAGGAGGTTTTAATGTCAGCCAGGCCTGGGTTCAAATCCCAGTCTGCCACTGAACTGTAGCTGTTTAAACCTGAGTAAGACATGAAGGCTGTGCAGGAAGAGACCAGAAGAGTCCTAGTACAGGGGTAGCTGTTCAAAGGACGAGAGAGCTGAGATTATCAACAGTCCCATCTTACCTGAGCACGATCACCTGCCCCTCAGCTCCCACAGCCACATCTGTCAGGCCATCTCCTCCGAGGTCTTTCACCCCGTGGATGGAGCGTCCAAACCACTGAATTCCTGAGAACACCTGCGTCCCTTCAATCCGCTGAGACCAAGAGAAAAATTCCTGCTAAGCTAGGGAGAGGACAGGCCGTTGGGGGGGGAAGGGTCAGGCGGGGAAGTGGGGTCTGGGCTTGGAGGCTTCTGGGTGCCCGGGAACGGGTTTGGATGGGCAGGTAGGGTGCCTCTCACCTGGCTCGGCCGGGGGCTCAGCCCCCTGTAGTGCCCGTTGAAGATGTACACAGCCCCCTGCTCCTCCAGAGGGGCCCCCACCGCCACGTCCGCCAGCCCATCCCCATTGATGTCCGTCAGGGCCGCGATGGCTGCTCCGAATCGCCCAAGCGGGTAGCCAGGGTCCCCCTGCAGCTCTGAGACCACTTCGAACCCCAGCTGGGAAGGAGCAAAGTGACAAGCCCTGCTTCAAGCACTCAGCACGCGTTTGCAGGGGGCGGCACCATGTACATGGAGGACGCTGAAGAAGGGTCGGGTGTGGTCCCTCACACAATGGGAACGGTGCTGCAGACTGACCTGGGCTCAGGTCCCAGCTCCACCCCTTGCTGTCTGGGTGACCTTGGGGCTTTGGAAGGTGACTCGGCCTTGCTGAGCCGCAGTGCTCCCATTTATGAAGGAAAGCTCAGAGTTTCCCAGAAGGTGATTGTGTGAGGACCAACGGAGGTGTCCTGTAAATAAAAGGTTTGGCCCTGGGCCTTGCACACAGCCTACCCTCCCTGAGCACGGAGTGTCAGCTCTCGTTTGTCAGTTGTTCTAAAGGTCTGATCCACCATGATCAGTCAGGGAAAGCCTTTCAGAATAGTTGGGACCTGGGTCAGCCTGGGAATCTGTTTCTCCTACCCCTGCATGTCCTGGTCCCCACCTGTTTTTTCTGGTAGATAAACACCCGGCCTCCTCTCTGCTCCCCATAGAACAAGGGGGCTCCGATCAGCAGCAGCTCTGTCTCCCCATCTTGGTCCATGTCAATGCCACACAGCTCGCCACCGAAGTAAGAGCCAATCTGCACGGAGAGGAAGATGTCTGAGGAAGCCCCGTGAGCCGGACACCTCCTCCCCCTCAGCTGTACCATGTCCATCTGACTCCATCCTTCAAATGCAGGTGCAAGTCCTGGACCACCCCCCCCCGCCCCGCCTCCGCAGAGCCTTGTAGGAGTCAGGACAAGGAGGGTGCTCTGAGGTTCTGTTTCTTAAACTGGCAGGTGGAGACAACAAAGCTCAGCTCAAGGGCTCTGTGGGGACTGAATGTGACAGTGCTTGGCACAGGGCCTGCCGCACCGTGAGTGGGTGAGTGCTTGCCAACAGCAGGGAGCATGACCAGTGCCGTACCAGTCCCTGACCTGCGGATGCCCCCTGGGGCCGTGCTCACCTGGCTCCCATCTATCTTCTGGATTTGGTTCCAGTGTCCTCTTTCCTTTGACTTCTGGAACAGCAGCACCCGCCCCACATGCTGGTGTCGGGGGGCTCCAGCGGCCAGTAGGGAAGTGAGCCTTTGGGAGGGCAGCCAGGTCACTGTGTAACCTGAGGGGCGTGGTGGAGAGAGACAGAGAGAGAGAATGGGAGAGAGGGAGGACAGGGGCTTGGAATTAGAAGCGCAATGGCGTCTGGAGGAAAGTAAAACCCAGGGACAAAAAGGGCAGAGACTCTGGGAAACTGGGTTAGTAGCAGAGATGCACTGAAATAGTCAGAGGACCTTCTCCGGAGAAAAGCAGCCATGTGATCCGAGTGGCACAAATCCTGCCATCTTGGCCCAAAACTGCATTTCTCAAACTGTGGCCAACACACAGGCCCAGGAAAAAGCAGCCACGGACGACAGGCTGCCAGTAAACATGGCGCATCTTCCTGAGCCTCAGCTGACCTGAAGTTTGGGAAGGGAGACTACACTATTTAAAAATAATCAGATAACGGGGAGCCCGGGTGGCTCAGTCGGTTGGGCATCTGCCTTCGGCTCAGGTCATGATCCCAGAGTCCTGGGATCCAGCCCTGGTTGTTGGGGGGGGGGGGTCCCTGCTCAGCAGGGAGTCCACCTCTCTCTCCCCTCTACTCATGCTCTCTCTGTCTCAAATAAACAAATAAAATCTTTAAAAAAATAAAGTGAGATATATTCATAAGAAGAATGCAAAATCTGTGTGAATATTAAAAATAAAGCAGGAGACTTGAACACATTTTATTTAGAGTTCTCCCTTCAGGCCACCTTCCTAGTCCACAGCTTGCGTGTGAGCGAGGTTTCTCCCCTGTGAGCACGTTGTGGGGACATCTGAGGAAATGCAGCAGGAAACTGGACCAGGGACTGTGCTTGAGCCAGGACCCATCCAATAGGAACGCTCTGATTCAGGAGACGACTAACTGACCCAATTTCATCTTCTCTGCTTAGAGTAGTTGCAAATGAGTGACAAAAACAGAGCCATCTGAGACGCCACAGCACAGGAGAAGAAGGGTAGAGAGGCTGAACACCTTTCCCATTCATCTGTGTACATTCCTGGAGCGCTGGGGTTAGGAACTTGCCCTCTGAAATCAGAGGCAAGGTTTTATTCCTAGTGCTGATGCTTCCCAGCTGTGTGATTGTGGTCAATTACACCACGCACTGAGGCTCAGTTTTCTTATCCAAAAAACAGAATAGTACCAGCCTCATAGGGTGGTTTTGAGGGTTAAGGAAGTCTTTGTGCTCTGCGAGTTTAATAAAGAAAATGCTTAGCACTATGCTAGTGATATCTAAACTAAGATCTGAAGGAGAGTTGCACCACAGGCATCCGGCATTGATTGATTTTATCTATCTATTTATTTATTTATTTTAGCAGGAGTTGAAATGTTTTTTTCTTTTCTTCTTATTGAAGTATAGTTGACACAAGGTAATATATGTACAATCATATATCTATATGTACACATATAATATATATACATGCACATATAATCGTATCCATATATACACATACACATGCATTGTGTGCGTGTCTAGTGGGACAGGCGCCTAACCAGAGATTAAACCATAGGCTATTTCTTCTTGAAAGAGCAGTGTTGCTGACTAGCTCGCAGGATACTGGGGGACACAAAGCTCCTTGAAGTGTTAGGGTTAGGAACTACAGTGTAAGTGTGTTGTTTACCAGCACAGACTTTGGGGGCTACACTACTGGGCTCCACCTACTTGTTCTGTGACCCTGGGCAAGTTATTTAAACTCTCCTGGGCTCAGTGCCTTCATCTATAAAATACAAGTAATAGGGGTGCCTGGGTGGCTGAGTTGGTTGAACATCCGACTCTTGATTTTGGCTCAGGTCATGATCTTGGGGTCCTGGGATCGAGCCCCGCGTCAGGCTCCGTGCTCAGCCGGGAGTCAGCTTGGGATTCTCTCTCTCCCTCTGCCCCTCCCCCCCGCTTGTTGGCTCTCGAATGCGTGCTCTCTCTCTCTCTCTCTAATAAAAAAATAAAATCTTAAAAAAAATAGAGCAGGTAATAAAAATGCCTACTCACAGGGTTACTGTAAGAATAAAATGAGATAAAATGAGATAAAATCTGTCAATACATGTCATGCACCGGGGCCTGGCATGTAATACTTAGTAAAGAATGTCAAAAGAGAGAGAGAAAATCATGGAGGGTAGCCCTCCTTAGAAGGGTAGATGCAAGATGGATGGCACCAATTTTCCCAAGGTAATTATACAAGGAAGCCTTTGTGCTCTGCGAGTTTAATAAAGACATGGCCCACCCCTATATAGGGGTCATGCATGAGGCCGGGTGAGGGGGTTTCTAGGTAGATCCTGGAAGCAGTCCTACCCCAGGGCTCCTGAAGCCAGTCTGTGCCTTGACACAAGTTGACTATATGAGCGTGAACTGGAAGAGCTATAACCTCTGTGCACAAGAGTGAGGCCTCTCTGTGCCTGAGACTGGCATCCACTTGGGTAGACTAGCAGCCACAGAACTGTGCAGGACAAGCTCACAACAGCGACACCATAAGGCAGAGAGAAGCAACTGCAACTGTGCACAGACCACGTGCCTTTGCTCTGCACTTGGCATCTGAAGATCTCTTGAGGTGAATCAACCTTGGAGTTCATGGACAATTCTAGAGGAGGAAGCCTCAAGGAGGAACTGCTGGTCCCCCTACTAATGAGGCAGGCTGCTATAAAAGGGACCCAGGATTCAATTTATGGGTAAGACCTAGAGAGGTCGCTGGGTAGGCAAGCTTGAGCAAGCTTAGGACGGGACGGTGTGAATAATGCTGGTTGGCACTGGTCTACAAGGGTGGTCCTTAGCTAACTAGATATTTAGGTCTGGGGGAATACTGGCTTGGGGTGTGAAAGTTAGGTAAAGGAGGTGGCTGGGGATATGGGCTCAGGGTTGGCTGGTTGGCATGTGGAAGGCCTGCTCACAGTCCCCTTGTTCACTATCTGTAGGAATTAGCTAGCTCTGGGAAGGGCAGTGTCTCTGGGATTCGCAAGGCCTCAAGATGTCCAAGGATCATAAAATACAGAAACTAAAAGCATGATTACGTCACAGCAGAGGGGTTATTAAGGGAAAAATTAAGAATGTTGTAGCCATATTTAAATTCTGAGTTTGTTCATGCTGGTTACTTAACCGCTTTCATTATTGTTTTGAAAGTCAGTCTGAGTGACCCTGGCCCCTCAGACCAAAAAAAAAAATGCAGCAGAAAAGAAAAGTACTCACCCAAATATCCTGCTCTCGCTTCTGGTGTCAGTGGTTCATTCCCAACAAATCTATCATCCTGCAGGTCTGCCTCCAGGTCTAGAAAGCCCCCAGCCCAGTCCTTGGCTCCAACTGCCCCCACGACGCCATGGCCCTGCCCAGGGAGGAGATGAGCATGCTTGGCCATGTGTCCACAACATCCCGAAGCTCCCCCCCTGCTCCAGGCCCGCCACTCACGTGGCTGAGGTCAGCGCTGATCCCACTGGAGGACAGCTCCATGTTGAAGGATGTCAGGTCCTGTTTGCTTGTGCCTGAGGGACCAGGTAAAGAGAATGGGTGGACACTCGAGAAAGGACCGAGAAAGAGGCATGGCACCTGCCTTTGGGCAAGGTTGAAAGAGCCCACCCGACAGTCAGACTGGGCAGTGACGTGGGCTGAGTCTGATGTGAACTCAGCCAGGATGTAGCTCTGTGGTTCTGTTCCCACTCAGGCTTCCCCGCCGTGTCACCAAATCGGGATGTTCTACGTTTGCAATGCATCTGTCCCCTTCTCTGTAGAGCGTGTTTGCCACCACATGGGCCCGGCCATCCTCCTCTCTTGCCTGACAACCGTGCTCACTTACTCATTTGGTCCCTGACTTCATTCTTCCTCTTGTCGTGTCTTTTTTCCACAGAGCAAGCCGGAGCAATCTTTTTAAAAAATGTCTATCAGACCCCACGTTTCCCTTTCTTAAAAACCCTTCATCCCTTGCCATCGCTCTTTAGATTAAAACCCCAGCTGCATATGAGGAACTGGAAGGCCCCTGACTATTTCTCTCCTGTTGTCTCACTTGCTCACCACACCCCTGTCACGCTGACCTTTTTTCCGTTCCTCCAGCTTGCCCGCCCTTCCCCACCTCCCGCCCCTGAGCTGGCTCTTCTCTGACTTCAAAGCCCTGCCCACATTCCTCATGTGGCTGTTTGATTCTCATCTTTTGTGTCTCAGCTCAAATGTCATCTCAGACTGAATTCTACCTCCATCGAAAAATAAAGCATCTAGAAAGGCCTTCCTTGAAGAGCCTATCTAAAGTGGCTTCCCCCAGTGAAATCTTTCTATCCAGTTTATTCACTTTCTTTACAGCACCTAACATAATCTCTAATTATCCTGTTCGTTTGTTTTCTGTCTTTCTTTATCCAGCCTGAATATGAGCTCCACCTTGACAATATCCCCTAGTGCCTTATTCACATATACCTGGGACCTGGTTAGTGCAAGCCTGAATTAATAAAATGAAAATCATCCCACCAGCCTTGCAAAGCTTCTGAGAGGAATGAATTAAATGATACAGAAAGAGTGCCTGTTACCTGGCAAGCTTTCAAGAAACACAGCAATTACCATGAAGATTTTGTTCGTTCCTGCATAAATATTTAGAGCGACTAGACTTTTGGTGCCAGGGATACAATGGTGAAAAAGCAGACACATTGCTTGCCATGACAGATGCCCCCCGCTGCCACGAGGAAATAATATCTAAGATACAATCTGAAGCATGACTAAGGGCAGGTCAGGGTAGACGATCCGAGCCAGAGATAACCAGCTCTGGGATTTACAGAACGCCTACAAAGTATCAAGCACTCTGCCAAGCAGGGGTTAGGGCTTGAATTGTGTTCTCTAAAAAAAAAGATATTTTCACGACCTAAGCCTTAGTACTTGAGACTATAACCTTGTTTAGAAATAGGATCTTTGCAGGGCAATCGAGTTAAAATGAGGTCACTGGGGTGGGCCTCGATCCAATACGATCCAATATTTTCTAGTGTCCTCATGACAGAGGGAAATGTGGACACAGAGAGAAGAGGATATGAGGACGGACATGCAGGGAGAAGACAGCCAGATGACAGAAGTGATGTAGCCACAAGCCAAGGGATGCTGGGAACTGCTGCGGACGCCAGAAGTTAGAAGGGGTGAGGAAGCGTTCTCTCCTAGACCCGTCAGAAAGAGCATGCCCCAGGCCATCCCTTGATCTCTGACTTCTGGCCTTCCGAACTGTGAGACAATAAATTTCTGTTGCTTTAAGCCACTTGGTTTTTGGTACTTCGTTACAACAGCCCTAGGAAACCAATATGACAGTCAAACCTCCCAGGGCTGTGAGATTGATATTATTAGCCCCATTTAGCAGAGAACAGCGAGCCTCAGAGAGAGAAAGTGACCTGGTGGAGGTCACACAGCATGGGCAGAGTGGATTCCTGAGCGGTCTACCCAGTCCCATTATATATACCACATTGCTTCTTCAACTGAACCAAACACCAAGCCCGAGTGCTAGCAAAGGGGCCTTCCCAGGGGGAATCATGTAGCTTTCAGCAGACCGGGATTCCTGGGGAAATACCCTCTATCCGTGACTGCAGTCCAAACCTTCTCTTATTCCGGGCCAAGAGGGCCTGGCGCTCCCTGCCCTCGGGCCCTACCCACTTGTGCACCTTAAGTAAGCTGAGGACAAGGGAACATGAGGGAGCTGAGTGGCGGGAGGAATTCTACTCCTTCCATGGGCCTCGGTTGACACCAGCAAGCTAGAGGTCAGTTCTGGGCCCCAGCCTGGACCCAGCTGAGCTTTATGAGGAAGATGGAATTTCAGAGAGAAACAGAGGCTGCTCCTTAAGCACCCTCCCCCAAATTCCCACCTGAGGCCCTTTTCCAGGAGAGCGCTTCACCCAGTGAAGATACTCTGTAAGTGTCCGTTATTATCACCCAGCGTGTCTCTAGTCTTATTGTCCCAGATGAGCTTCTGTAAACAACTTCCCGAACTCTCCCTCCCCAGGTCTGCCACTCACCCTCAATGACATAGATCTTCTTTTGCAGCTCAGTGAACAGATCTTTAAGCTTCTCAAACGTGTCCAGAATCTTGACAAAATCCTTCGCGGGTTTTGAGGCAAATTCATGGAGCCTTTCCTGACTTTCCTTGGTTGCAAAATGCTTTCCAATCTGTGAAGGAGTAAAGACTGGAGAGTTGGCATCCCCAGAATCGCAGAGAAGGCCCTGGCCCTGAGGAGAAAGGGGAGGGGGGCTCAGGAACAGGAGAGGGAAGATGGGACTTGGGAAGCAGCCAGGACCTGGGGCCCATACCCCAATGATGTAGCGGATGATGTCTTTGGCTGAGTCAATGTTTTCGTGGTCCGTGGCTTCCCCGTCAGTGATGATGATAAGCACTTTGGTGGCATCTGGCCGGGCCCCCAGGTCTTGCCGGAACACCTCTGTCCTGTGTCCAGGAAGGGGTGTATGTGAAAGACCCCCCAAATCATGAGGTCTCCCCCCACTCACCGAGCTCATTAAGTCACTGTCCTGTTGATTATGCAGAAGCCCTTCTCCCATCCCCCAGGCAGGTATCCCCAGCCTTCCAAGTTCTCTTCTGAACCTCCTCCCTCACCCTGGCTGCCACACCTCTGCTTCCAGACCGGTGGTCTTCGAAGGTATTCTGGGTGGCCAGGAGGTTGTCCTGGAGCCCATGGGCAGTGATGGGGAGGCTTTGTGAGGAGAGACCCTGGGCTTCCTACTCTCCATTCCTACTCTCCAGTTCAACCACATGACAGCTAACCTTTTATTGGTTAGACATGCTGGGGATCCAGGTGAGATTTCAATATGGAAAATGGGCTCCATGGCTGGAGAAAATGGGGAAGTCAGGCTTCCAGAGCAAGCTCATCTGGCAACCCCCCACCATCGATGGCAGGCTGCCTGTAGATCTCTGCTACAGCAAGTCTCCTCGGGAACTGAAGTCACCTGTTTCCATTTCCGTGTTCCCCAAACCATGAGTTCCTCAAGGAAGGAACATATCTGATTTGCTGCTGTGTTTCTGGCTCCTGACACAGCAGGTGCTCCCCGCACGTGACATAAAAGGAAGAAGGGAGTCCTGAACACTGGATAGGCCAACGCTCCAAAGTCCCAGCTGCCCAGAGCCTCCTTCTGGAGCAAGACAGGGTGCCCACAGCTTCTGTTGGGACAGCAGCTCTCTCTGCACCATCTGATCCTTCCGTCCCCACCCCACAGCTAACCAGAGACGGACGATTAATCCAAGAGCAGCCAGTCTACAACCCTTGACTTATGACATGACTTGCCTTGGAAGGGGAAGCAGAAAGTCACACGGGGTGGGGGCGGGGGGAGGCGCACAACGGCAGGTGGAGGAGAGATGCAGAGAGGGGGGGGCCTCAGGACAGAGGAGCTCTGATAGGGGCAGAGCCAAGACCTCTGTTCCATCTTGGATGCAAATCATTTTCCCAGCCTCCGTCCACACAGACACGGCCTCTCATGGCTCCTGTTCATGGATTTCCACCCTGTTTAAACCGCCATTACCTCTCATCTCTATTTTTTAATAGCCTCCTTCCTGGTCTCCCTGGTCCCACCCCTGTTCCCTCCACAACCTAATAGCCCCGCAGCCAGAGGGATCCTTTTTTTAAAAAAATATTTTATTTATTTATTTGAGAGAGAGAGCGAGAGAGCACGATCAGGGGGAGGGGCAGAGGGAGAAGCAGGCTCCCCGCAGAGCAGGGAGCCTGAAGCAGGACTCTATCCCAGGACTCCGGGATCATGACCTGAGTGAAGGCAGATGCTTAACCGACCGAACCACCCAGGTGCCCCGGAGAGATCCTTTTAAAAACATAAATCAGGGGCGCCTGGGTGGCTCAGTTGGTTAAGCATCTGCCTTGGCTCAGGTCATGATCCCGGGGTCCTGGGATCGAGTCCCACATCGGGCTCTCTGCTCAGTGGGGAGCCTGCTTCTCCCTCTCCCACTCCCCCTGCTTGTATTCCGTCTCTCGCTGTGTCTCTCTCTGTCAAATAAATAAATAAAATCTTTTCAAAAAATTAAAAAAATAAAAACATAAATCAGATGATCACTCCTCTGCTCAAAACCTCCAATGACTTCTCATCTCACTCTGAGGAAAAGCCAAAGTCCTCGGTATGGCCTCCAAGGCCCTAAGTGCTCCAGACTCCCCTGGTCTCTGACCTCATCTCCTACTACTTTCGCCCTCACTTACTTCTCTCTAGTCACACTGGTGTCCCAGCTCTTCTTGGAACGTCCCAAGCATGTTCTCATTTCAGGGCCTTTGCTATTCCCTCTGCCTGGAATGGTCTTCCCCAGTATGGGCATGGCTGCTTCTTCACCTCCAACGAGTCTTTGCTCAAATGTAACCTTCCCTCATCTTCCTACTGAATACTACTTTCTTTTTCCTTATAAAACTTACATCTTCTACTATATTATCTAATTTACAAACTGGTCCTGTCTACTGTGTTTCTCTCCCCTAATATAATGTTAAACCTCAAGAGAGTAGAGATTTTTGTTTCATTCACTGCTATATTCCCAGAACCTAGAACATGGCAAACAACCCACAGGCCAAAGCCAGCCCCCAGCTTCCTTCTGTATGGTCCATGGGCTAAAAATGGTTTTTATAGTTTTGTTTTTAAACAGTTACAAAAACAAGAAGAATATGCAAGAGAGACAGCATGTGGCCAGAAAAGCCTAAAATGTACCATCTGACCATTTACAGAAAAAAATCAGCCCCCTCCTGACCTGTAATACTGCCTAGCACACAGGTAGTCAGGAAGTATTTATGAAATATATTTCTATGGGGCGCCTGGGTGGCTCAGTCGTTGGGCGTCTGCCTTCGGCTCAGGTCATGGTCCCAGGGTCCTGGGATTGAGCCCCGCGTCGGGCTCTCCACTCAGCGGAAAGCCTGCTTCTCCCTCTCCCACTCCCCCTGCTTGTGTTCCCTCTCTCACTGTGTCTCTCCCTGTCAAACAAATAAATAAATTCTTTTAAAAAAATAAAATAAAATATATTTCTATGATGCTATGATGATGAGGCGGGGATTAAGGTCATACAGCTAGCTGTGGACATGACTGGATTTCCAACAGCTACTCTGCTGGACTGTCATGGAAGAAAGTCCCAGAATGTAGCATTTTTTCAGTGACTGTGATGACAGAAGCCCACCATAAATATGATCACTCTGAGGCCACAGGATCCTCAAGCTGGGATTTCCAGAATTCTTTCAGAAGGGAGAAACTGGAACAAAAGTCCCCAGATTCTAAGATACTACAGGAAGATTCACCTGGAGTGAGACAGAGTCTATGAGTATCAGGAATATGGAAAATCCTTCATGCAAAAAGGTAGTCTAACCTTGCATGAAAGAATCCACACTAGTCCGAAGCCCTTTGAGTGTACTCAGTGGGGAAAAAGCTTTGGGGCCAAAGGCAATCTTGTTACACATCAGCAAATACACATAAGAGAGAAGCCCTATCAGTGCAAGGAGTGTGAGAAAAGCTTTAGTTGATGAGGTAGTCTGGCTGTTGGTGAAAGACCCCACACTGGACAGAAACCCTATGAGTGTGCTGTTTGTCAGAGAAGCTTCAGGAATCAACGTAACCTTGCTGTTCGTAGAAGAGTTCACAGCGGTGAAAAGCCCTATAGATATGATCAGTGTGGAAAAGCCTTCAGTCAGAAAGCAAGCTGAATTGTTCACGTCACAGTCCACACAGGCCTGAAACATAGCGTGCGATGGGTTTTCACACCAGGGGGGAACTGTATTCCTGCAGGGCAAAATCCATGCAGGAGAGACACCCTACCTATGTGGCCCGTGTGGGAAAAGCTTCACTCAGAGGGAATTTGGCTGCGCACCAGTGAAGCTGCTCACAAAGACTGACCCTTTGATCACTCTCTTCAAAAGAAGTTCTCTTTATGAATGAAAAGTACAAAATCCTCAGATCAAGCAACCTATCCAATTCTATGGAATGAATGGAGACTCTTTCAGACAGACCATCGTTGAGTAGGACAAACTCATTTTTCTCCTTTCCCCCAAATGAGTATGAAAACTAAATGTCTTGTTTATAATCATTAACAAAAAAAAATCAAATAAAATATACAGTACGGCCCTTCAACACAATCTAACTGCCTTTATCTAGGCCCCAATTTAAACACAGCCACCTGGTCCAACTCCGGGGGAAAAAACTTCTAATCTATAGTAGACTTAGGAAATCAGGATATGCTAGCTTCCAATATGGGACTCGAGTATATTGAATTTTATGAACACTTCAAGGAATTTTTCAAGGAGAATTTTGACTAGTAGAGATTTTTGTTCACACGCTGACTTCAAGAGCTGATCCCCAACTCAGATGTGACTCAGTCATGGCTTCCAAGTTCACAATCACTTTCCAAGTCTTGGCTCTAGTTCCTCATGAGGTTTGGCATTACTCCCTGTCCCAAAGCCTCATGAGCTATCCCTGCATCCTCCAAAGAATTGCCCTTGAGGATTTAGTTAGTATAGATTTGTTACTTATAATTAAAAGAAACTGGACTAGGGGAGCCCGGGTGACTCAGTCAGTTAAGCATCTGCCTTCAGCTCAGGTCATGATCCCAGGGTCCTGGGATTGAGCCCCGCATCAGGCTCCCTGCTCAGCGGGGAGTCTGCTTCTCCCTCCCCCTCTGCCCCTCCCCCTGTTCATGCTCTCTCTCTCTCTCAAATAAATAAATAACCTTTTTTTAAAAATTAAAAAAAAAATAAAAGAAACTGGACTAAAATTGCTCCACTTGAATTCCTACAACAACCTGCCCCTTGCTGAGCCCACCTGTTGAGCTCCTATACCCTGAAACCTGAAGAAGCCAGTGCAACTGACGGGTGGGCTGTCTCCTACAAAAGGGGACTCACGCAACATAGTTGATGGCACCAAAGGTGTTGGTCAACTGGCGCATGTGTTCTACTTTGCCCAGCAGAACATCAGGGTTCTTCACCTTAACATATTTCAAGAAATTAAATTCTGTTTTGCAGTCCGTGGAAAACTGAACAGCAGCAAACTAGAAAAAGAAGCAAGAAATGAAACAAGATTACATAGCCCTTCCTACTTGTCTGCTCCAATCTATTTCTTCTTTTTTTTTTTTCAACTTTATTTTTAAGTAATCTCTACGCCCAACATGGGGCTCCAACTCATAACCCCAAGATCAAGAGTTGCATGCTCTTCCAGCTGAGCCAGCCAGGTGCCCCTTCCAGTCTATTTCTTATCTGGGACCTGGGTAACCCAACCCCACATCCCTGCCTCAAAACATTCTTTTGAAAATGAGGTAATATATACACAAACACAGAAATACAATTAAATAAACCTCTGATCCCTTACGTAGTGCTGTCTGCTGAACTCCTGTCCTCTGGGTCGGCCTGCCTTCCCAGTGGGGATGTTCTGCTGAGTGACCCTGCTAAGCTGGAGACAGCTGGTTCGGCCACAGATGGCCACTTGGCTGAGGCTAGCCCAGTCAGAATCCATCCTCCAAGAATTTGGAATTTGCAGAGGGAGGGGTTGGTGGAGAGGACAAAAGAGCCTCCTGAAACTTTAACACATGAACTTAGGAGCTTTCCACAGGCCCATGTGATCCAAAGAAGCTGTGGGTGTCAGTGTGTGGAGAGAGAAGAGGGAAGCAAAAGCCAAAAAGAAACAGAAATGAGAACTAAAGAGAATCCCAGACACTTTCTACTTCCTAGTGCTTGTCTCTTCCAGAGGTCCAGTCCAACTATGCCTTTAGGTTTTGGAGACACCTCATACTAAATTTTTCTTTTATGCCTTAAGCTAGCTCAAGTAGGCATCTATTGCCTACAAACAGGAAAACTAATTAATATATTTACCTGGTAGGAAGAGTTGCTGAGCTTCTTCATCACATCCTTCATGAAGTCCAGAATTTTCTGAAATTCATCTGGCTGCAAGCTCATTGAACCATCAAACAGAAATACCAAGTCCACGTTGCCCTTTATACATTCTACAGACCCCAGACACAAAGGGAGTTGGTGAAGTGTCTCCACCGGTTGACCTGCCCATGCTGTTTTCCTTGTATGGGCAGCTCCCTGGGAGAAATTTTTACCCCCTGGATCCCCAGCTCCTTACCCTGATAACCAGGGCGCCCTTGCAGCACAGGACCCCTCAGATTCTGGTGGAAAAGGTAACACAGGCCACTCAGGTAGACATTCTGGTCACACATCCGAGACAGCCCAGGATCACAGGCCTGAAGGAAGCGAAGGTTAAAAAAGGGGGACAGGGAGTTGGGGCTTCTTCTTGTGTGTCTTCTGGGCATCATCAGCCAAGAAGAACCTTCAGGGTCACCATCCCCTGACCTCACTCCCTACATCCAACTGGAGACCAAGGCAAGGTAATTCTGCCTCCAGGTCTTACAGCCACCTCTCCCTCCCTCCTACCAAAGCTGTGTGCCAGTGAATGCTCACTGCCTATAAGACAGAGTCTAAACTCCTGCGTTTGGCATTCATACTGTTTACATTTGGGCACTCTCCTACATTTCCAGGTCTATCCCCTTTGATTCCCAATCACACCTTCTGTGTTTAAGCCAGATCACTAACTATCCCCAGAATATACAATGTTGTTTCTTTCATTTATGACTATCTTTCCTGCCAGACTGCAATTTCTGGAAAGTCAGGGCTCATGTCATCTTTGTATCTCACTCCTCTGACCCCATCTGAGCCTAGCACATTGGCCGGCATGTAATAGGAGCTAAGTAAACAAGCTCCCAGTAAATGCTGGCTAAATATTTCACTCAGCCAGCCTTCTATCCCTCATATACCTGTGTCAGAAGATGCTGCTGGGATAAACTGTAAAGATCAATGGGCTTAGAATCAAATGGGAATTTAATTCAAATCCTGGCTTTACCTCTTTAAAACCATGTGACCTTGGCTAAGTCTCTTAACCCCTTGGGTCTTGTTTCTTCATGTGTAAAATGTGTATACTGATCCCTGTCTCCTCCGAGTGTCTTGAAGGTTAAAAGAGAGAAAGCAGTGTTTCCCAAACTTCAGGCTTTTGTGCACCACTTCACAATTTCTGCCATGCGGGCATACCATGCAGACTATTATTTGTTTAATATTTTATTTACTTTAAATTTACTTTTTATTTAAACTTTAGCCTTATCCCAGGCAATTCAATCCAAGAAATCATGAATTTGATGTGTTGTATATTTTTCCTAATAAACCATTAAATAAATATATAACTACAAAACATTAAAAGTTTGTGTACCACCAAAATCATCTCTGTATATCCATGGCCACATTTCATATCTGGAAAAAACCGGCATAAGTAAGGTCTCAAAACTAGCTGGCTCATACTCAGTTCTTAATAAGGCCTGATTGAATCAGAATCTCTCTGATGCCTGTAATCTTCTATAGGATCTTTACTCCACTTTTTCCTTCCTTCTTTTCAATCTGTCTTTCTTAACATCGACTGATATCACACTACACAAGATTCTTACCAAAAGATTTCCACTTGTGGAGTCTGTCGCCAAGGTCATCCCCAAGTACTTGGAGGTATAGTTGGAACCTGTAGGCACCAGGAGATTGGTCTGGAGGAACTTAGGTAACCCAGATGTGGCAGGGCCAGCCTCAACTTCCCTGGGACACCATTCCTCCCAGGCCCCTCACCAGTTACTCACCACTCAGGCTGACTGGAAGGCAGTGGCCAGTGTCTGGCTGGCACTGATAGAGGTTTCCCGTGCTGTTCCCCTCACCTGGAGCTCCCACGATAACCCTGATGAGAAATCTCACCTGTGAGACGGAGTTGTCCCGTCTTTACCCATCCACTCCTACCCATTAGGGGGGTTCAGATCCACAGGTATCTCAAAGAAATGCAGCCAGTCCCTTTCAGGGAGGCTCCTCGGCCCCTACCTCTTCCCTATTGAATACCTCAAACTTCTAGAAAGTTAAGGATCTTTTCCATTTATAGTCTAGGAAAACTGAGGTCCAGAGAATGAGGTGCCAGAATGTCACATTATGAGCTCACTCAATCAGTCATCAATTCAAAAGTCATTTATGGGGGCGCCTGGATGGCTCAGGTGGTTAAGCGTCTGCCTTCAGCTCAGGTCATGGTCCCGGGGTCCTGGGATCAAGCCCGCCTTGGGCTCCCTGCTCAGTGGGGTGTCTGCTTTTCCCTCTCCCTATGCACCTCCTCCCTGCCCGTGCTCTCACTGTCTCTCTCAAATAAATAAATAAATAAATAAAATCTTTTTAAAAAGTCATTTATGGCATATCTACTATGTGCTAGGCTGGGGCATGTACTAGGGCTGAGGGGGGAAATCCCTGCCATCAAGACTCTCACTGTCTAGTCAGAGCACCAGTGGGGGATCTAGAAGTGTTGCAAAGCCCTTTAGGGGCTGTGATATTTCCCCTTTTTTCAGGCACTCGTGTGGAGATTTAACCATGGACTGTCCTCGTCCTACTATCTGATGGCCTCGCTCCCGTTTCCGAGAATTGCCACCAAGACGTCTCCAGACAGGAGACTCCCTGCCGGCTCCCCGGATCTGGCCCACCCGGGGCTGGTGGCCTGGTCGCCCGTCCCGGCTCTGCGGGGCAGGGAGGGCCTGGGGCGGCAGCTCACCGGTCTCCAACCTGCAGGACGCGGTACCCAAAATGCCTCCCGGCGAGGGGGAAGGAGAAGTTTTGCACGTGCCGCACTTCCAGGTTGTAGCCTGAGGCGGGGGCTGAGGGAGAGCAGGGGGTGCGGTCAGGCACTTCCGGCTGGTCAGTCCCCCCCCCCCCCCCCGCACGTGCCCCCAGAGCCGCGAGCGCTGATTGGCCGCCGCCCACGTGCCCCCTCTCCCCGTGGGCGGCCCACCCACAGAGACCCGGCTTCTTCCTCCCGCAGGCGGCCAGCACGAGAGGCTGAGCGGGACCTTCCTCCTTGGGGCCTTGACTCCGGGCAAATCTGGAAGCAGCGAAGCCTTACTAGCCAGAGCCCACTTGACCTCCCAGCAAAGAAGGAAGGGCGAGAAGGCGGAGGTCCCGGAGAAAGAGGCAGATGGAAGGGCCCCCAGGCGATGGGGTTGCCCCATGGCAGGGTTCGTCTCCCTACACACCCACTTCTCCTTTGGGCCTGAGACCCAAGATAATTAGCCTCAGGCTTCTGCCCACAGACTCATGGTTTCAGGATCCCCTGGTCTCTGTGAAACTGCTTCTCATCTAATGCTCCCTTACGGCCCGCCCTACCATGCACCAGTCTCTTCCTTCTGTTAGCGCTCAGATGCCCCCATGTCACCCCCACCTCAAGCAGCCTATGCATCCTCTGCAAGTCCCTAACTGTCCTTTCTGGCTCTGCTTTCCTTCCAGGCATCAGGCTTCTTTCCGCCGCATCCTAGGATGGCAGAGAAGCTGCCCGGCCATTTGTTCGGTCGAATGGACTGAGGCGCAGAAAGGGGAAAGGGCTGAGGTGGTGGTACACGGTCGTACCACGGGGAGGACCAGACCCCAGCGACAGCTCCAGGTACCCATTAGCCATCTGCCTCCTTTTAAGACTCCACTCCGCTTCTCTGTTGCCACCTGTGTCTCCCTTCTTTGTCTTTCCCTCCAGACCTTGCCTCAACTTTGGACTCTGACTTTCTTTCTTTACTTTCCCCCTTCTCCCTCCAAGATTCCCGAGCCTCGTGGTCACCTATGGCCAATCCCACCCTCCAGCAGCTGCTCATTTACTCCAGTTCCACAAAGCCCTGCAGTTTCCCTGGCCACAGACACATGTCCCTTCCCTTCCCGTCCCCTTTTCCCTTGCCTACCAAAGAGAAAAGGCCCAGACAGCAGGAGCCTCATTACGATGATGCAGGAGTTCATCTTTCCAGCAGCTGGAGGGACCTAATCCAACACTCCAGGCTCAGAGAGCCCTGGGGATTTGCTGGCAACCCAGACAGGGTGAAAGAAGGAAATGATAATGCCTCAGGGCCTCTTACAGTGGGACTTTCTCACAAAGGCGCCAGGCTGGTGACACTGGGTGGGGGTGAGCCTGTAGGGGTTGTGAAACCACATTGGTTGAGAGGAAGTGTAAGCAGGTTAGAGACACTTCCTGTGCCCGCTTGCATTTTCACATCATCCAGGAGCAGACAACACAGTAGGTAGATGATTGTCTCTCCAGTCCAAGAGTTGCTGATTCCTTTTCTTTCACCAACACACAAACTGAAGACTCTGTAAAGCTCAGCAGAAGACTGGTCAAACAAACTGTGGAGCAATTATAATGGAATGCCACCAAAAAAAAAAAAAAAAGAGAGAGAGAGAGAGAAAGGAAGGAAGGAAGGAAAAAAATAACGTAGGGAAAAGAATGACATAATTTTCTCTTGACATTGAAAGAGGCCCATAATACATTGATGAAGAAAAAGAACAAATTACAGACAGTATATTTAGTAATTTTTTTTTAAAAAAGATTTTATTTATTTATTTGACAGAGAGAGACACAGCGAGAGAGGGAACACAAGCAGGGGGAGGGGGAGAGGGAGAAGCAGGCTCCCCGCAGAGCAGGGAGCCCGATGTGGGACTCGATCCCGGGACTCCAGGATCATGACCTGAGCCGAAGGCAGTCGCTTAACCGACTGAGCCACCCAGGCGCCCTAGTAACTTATTTTTATTCAAAGAAACAAAAAAATATCCACAGAATGGGAGAAAATATTTGCAAATCTTATATCTGCTATGGGACTTGCATCCAGAATATACAACGAACAACAGTAAAAAGTCAAATTGACCCAGCTTTTCAAATGGGCAAAGAATTTAAATAAACATTTCTCCAAAGATGATATGTAAGATTTTATTTATTTTAGAGAGAGAGAGTGCACGTGCACGCGCGCAAGTTGGGGGAGGGGCTGAGGGACAAGTAGACTCTCCACTGCGTGCAGAGCCTGACCCGGGGCTCAACACAGGGCTTGATCTCAGGACATCAAGGTCATGACCCGAGCCAAAACCAAGAGTCAGATGTTTAACTGACTGAGCCGTCCAGGTGCCCCTGAGGATGACATGTAAACAGCCACTCACATAGAAAAGATGCTCAGTATCATTAGTCCTTAGGGAAATGCAAATCAAAAACCAAAATAAGGTACCACTTCACGCTCATGGGGATGGCTAGAATAAGAAAGAAAGAAAATAACATGTATTGATGATGGTGTGGAGAAATTGGAGCCCTTGTACGTTGCCAGTAAAATGGTGCTGCTGCTGTGAGAAACAGCTTGACAGTTTCTCAAAGAAAAGTTAAACAGAGTTACCATACGACCTAGCAATTCTAAAAGAACGGAGAATGTACGTTCATACAAAAATGTATACGTGGATACTCATAGCAGCATTATTCATATTAGCCCCAAACTGGAAAAAATGTAAATGTCTATCAGCTGATGAATAGATCAACAAAATGTGGTCTATCCACAGGATGGAATATTATTCAACCGTAAAAAGGAATGAAGCATGGATCCATGCCACAACGTGGAAGAACCTTGAAAACATGCTAAGTGAAAGAAGCCAGGTACTAAAGGACACATATTGTGTGATTCCATTTAAGTGAAATGTCCAGAATAGGTAGATCTTTAGAGACAGAAAATAGATTAATGGTTGCCAGGATGGGTGGGGGGAGTGGGGAATGAGGAGTGACTGCTAATGGGTATAGGGTTTCTTTTTGGGGTGATGAAATGTTCTGGAATTCGTGGTGATGATTGTGCAGCTTTATGAATATATTAAAAACCACTGAATAGGGGGTGCCTGACTGGCGCAGTCAGAAGAGCATGTGACTCTTGATCTCGGGGTTGGGATTTTGAGCCCCACGTGGGGTACAGAGATTACTTAAATTTTTAAAAAATCTTTGAAAACCACTGAATTGTACACTTATTTAAAATGGCAAAGTTTGGGGCATCTGGGTGGCTCAGTCAGTTGAGTGGATGCCTTTGGCTTGGGTCATGATCCCAGGGTCCTGAAATCGAGCCCCGCATTGGGCTCTCCACTCAGTGGCGAGTCTGCTTCTCCCTCTCCCTCTGTGATCTCTCTCGCTTTCGCTCTCTCTCAAATAAATTTAAATAAATAAATAAATAAATAAATAAATAAAATCTTTAAAATGGCGAAGTTTATGGTATATGAATTCTATCTTAAAAAAATAAAAAAGGAAGGGGTGCCTGGGTGGCTCAGTCCCTTAGGCATCCGACTCTTGGTCTCGGCTCAGGTCTTGATCTCCAGGTTGTGAGTTCAAGCCCCATGCTGGGCTCCGCACTGGGTGTGGAACCTACTTAAAAAAAGAAAAAAAAGAAAACTAGGAGCTGAAATTGTGCGTGTGTAAAATCTGAAAGGATACACAACCAAACTCCAAACTGGTTACTTCTGAAAGAATAAGGTTTTCATATGTCTGTATTGTCTGAATTTTGGGTTTTTTTGTTTTTTTTGTTGTTGTTGTTTTGTTTTTTGATTTTTTTGATTTTTTTTTTGAATTTTGTTTTTACAGTGAGGATGTATAACCTACACAATTTTAGAAAACAAAAATAAAAACACAACAGAATAGAGGAACTTGTATTTGTTTATGGGAAAGTGAGAAGGCCCTTCAGATTCTCCCTGTGTTGTAAGGAAATCCTGCTCAGCTTGCAAGGCCACTTCCAGGGTCATGGCCTGTGGGATGCTTTTGCAGGCACATTATAATCTGCTGCTAGGCAGCTGCAACGTGACAAGTTGCCTCCTGGTACTTAGATAATATCAGATCGTCTTTTTCAAATTCAGTTAAAATCAGATAATTCAGACTGATTCCTTTGATCCTCTGTACAGCCGTTACAATTTACATCTAATCAAATTCTTTTAGTTGTTCTGAAATTACAAAAAAGAATACATGTTTAAAAATTCAAACACTACAGGAGCGTGTAAAGTAAAAGGATAAACACTCTCTTTTAATATCCACTCCCCCCCCACACACATGCACTCCTAAATCTCAAAAATAACCATTGGTAACAATTTAGAGCCCTACATTCTTCATGACAGAAAAAAATTTGTTAGTTCTAGTAATTAACCATACAGGTTGGACCTGTTTGCTCACCACAGAACATCTAACCCAGAATTAATAGTCAAATTGGCCCTTTCTACAGTGAAGGTTTTCCTTTAGACCGTCTTCAAAACTTAAATTCTTAAATGAGGGCTTAAGTTTATAGAAACTTCAAATGTATCAGTCTTAACATCTGGGACAGAAGGAATTCAGGAAATGATCTCAATGTTCCCACTGCTTGGATCATAGTTTAGCTGTATGCTTCAGTAGGCAAGCAACTCATTTACATATTTATCAGATTCTGGTTTTCAGTTTAAAAGAACAAAAGAGGGGCACCTGGGTGGCTCAGTTGGTTGGGCGACTGCCTTCGACTCAGGTCATGATCCTGGAGTCCCTGGATGGAGTCCCGCATCAGGATCCCTGCTCAGCAGGGGGTCTGCTTCTCCCTCTGACCCTCCTCCCTCTCATGCTCTCTGTCTCTCATTCTCTCTCTCAAATAAATAAATAAAATCTTTAAAAAAATAAAACAAAAGAATATTTTTTCCCCTTCTGTTTGAGGACTAAGGCTGAGGAAGCTACAAAAGTACAAGTAAGCCCCAAGGATTCTAGAGTGTCAGGGGCTCCATGATGGAGAGAGCAGGTGACTCCCCTGAAGAACTGGGTTGCAGAGATCTCAGGCTGGGCCACGTGAGGAAATCCTGAGGCAGGATTTTCCTTACACACACACGCACAGACACACACTTCGTTAGTCATGGGCCTTCATCATCTCTCAGATTGTCAGTTCTCTGAGGGCCCAATCGGGTCTCTCAATTCCATTCCATTTGTTCAAATCCCCATCAGTTCCCATGTGAACAATTTACAACCGCTACAGCTCTTTCTTCCTTCACTCCCCTGCCTCTAGAGAAGGTTCTACCTCCTGGGGAATTCCAAATTAACCTCAAGAAACCTGAGCATGTCTCTCTTAGGCTTTAAAACCTCAGGTGATTCCCCCTTTTGCATACACAAGATCACGTCCAAGTTTGTTGGCATGGCTTTCAAGGGCCTCGTCGTCTCTCCATACTCTGTGCTCTAACTTAGCTAGCCAATGACTCATCAGGGTTTAAATAGGCAAAGTATCTAGAGAGGAGTCTATGCAACTCAGAGCATCCGCCATACTGTCACCCCCTCCCAAGGAAATTAGCTTCAGTAGGTGCTTTCTGTCTGATGTTATCTTGCCTGCATCAAATGAATGGTACAAAACCGATCGTGCGGGGCGCCCGGCTGGCTCAGTCGGTGGAGTGTGTGCGACTTTTGACCTCGGGGTTGTGAGTTTGAGCCCCACGTTGGGTGTAGAGATTACTTAAAAATAAAATCTTAAAGGGGTGCCTGGGTGGCTCAGTTGGTTAAGCGTCTGCCTTCGGCTCGGGTATGATCCCAGGGTCCTGGGATTGAGCCCTGTGCCGGGCTCCCTGCTCGGTGGGGAGCCTGCTTCTCCCTCTCCCACTCCCCCTGCTTGTGTTCCCTCTCTCACTGTGTCTCTCTCTGTCAAAGAAATAAATAAAATCTTTTAAAAACAATAAAATAAAATCTTAAAAAAAAAAGGAAAAAGAGGGGCGCCTGGGTGGCTCAGTCGTTAAGCGTCTGCCTTCGGCTCAGGTCCTGATCCCAGGACCCTGGGATCGAGCCCCACATCCGGCTCCCTGCTCTGCGGGGAAGCCTGCTTCTTCCTCTCCTACTCCCCCTGCTTGTGTTCCCTCTCTCGCTATGTCTCTGTCAAATAAATAAATAAAATATTAAAAAAAAAAAAAAAAAGGAAAAAGGGAAAAGAAACTGATGGTGCTGGCCGTACCCAAGATCAATGCCGAGGGCGAAGGGCGCCTCGAATAGACTCAACTCAACAGATGTCAGCTCTCTTCAGGATGGCTTGGTTGTTCCACTTACCAATTTTCCATTGTTCCATGGAAATGGACTCCAACATATCATCTCACGGGGCGTGACAAATGAGACCCTCGACTGGGAAGTTCTGGGGTACCCAGAATCTGTGCATCTAAGATGCACTCAGCGGTTTGGATGGCTCAGGTCTGCTGTGTCTTTTGTAAGGTAAAGTGATTTCAATTATGTCTTATTTTTCTAGGGGTTCATCCGAAAACAATGAGAGAATTTTCTCTTGCTCCACTGGAGAGAGTAAACAAGACTTTGTGTCCAGCCATTTCTCATCTTCATCACTGCTCATTCCCTGGTCCGAGCCACCATCACCTCGTGCCTGGGCTTTGTGGCAGTCCCCTAACTGGTCCCCCTGCTTCCAACCCTGCCCCTGCTATAGTCTGTTCTCCACACAGCAGCCAGAGGGATCAGATCATGTTACTTTCGTGCTCAAAGCCCTCTAGTGGTTCTCCATTTCACTCAAAACGCAAGCCAGAGTTCTCATTGTAGCCTAGAAAGCCTTAACCTATCAGACATCTCACTATCTCTCTGAAACCCAGTTCCCCTTTTGCTCACCCCTTTTCAACTACACTGCTGTCCTGGCTCTTCACTCATTCCATCACACCTCTGCCTCAGGGCCTTTGCACTTGCTGTTCTCTTGCTTCTCTTTCCCAAGAAAGCCTCATGGCTCATTCCTGCATCATCTCCTTTGAACTTCGCTCCTTGGCACTTGTAGACTTCTGCTTATACTATCTAATTTACTTATCCATCTGGCTTATTGTCCATCTTCCCTACTGCAACCTAAACTCATGATTATCTGTTGTTGCTATTCACTGCTGTATCCCCAGTACCTAAAATGGTGCCTGGAGCATAGTAGGTAAATATGTAGTCAGCAAATATTTACTGATGAATGAATGCTTGGGGCTCCTCTTGCTGCTGAGGATAATGAAGAGGTTTTTGCTTTCCAGGGTCTAGATGCTTAGGAGCAAGAAAGAGAGGTTGGGGGAGTTGAAAGTGGAGGGCCACATTAAATTATATATTTAATTTAATATATAAAATTAAGTAATAAGCTGATGGCAGGTTAGTAATCAGTTGGCTCCCTTTATTTACTTATTTTTTAATATTTTATTTATTTGACAAAGAGAGACACAACGAGAGAGGGAACACAAGCAGGGGGAGTGGGAGAGGGAGAAGCAGGCTTCCCGCTGAGCAGGGAGCCTGATGCAGGGCTCCCTTTAGAACAGAAACTGGAGGACGTAGAGGGGACCAGCCAATTCACAAGTGAGGGGAGAATGTTGCAGACATACAGAGACATGGATGTCAGAAGAGATAATCGTGAGGTCTATGAATGAGGAGTGGTGACAGCTTGGAGGGCTGCCTCCATTCCTGATGGCCTCCCTAGTTCCAGTCCACAGTATGGCCATGCTGAACCATTTCTCTTGTGGTGCTTAAACGAATAAAATGTTGAATAAGCAAAGGTGTGGCAGCAGGGAGCCTCTGGGCATGTTCGGGGACCAGTGGGCCCCTGGCTGATATAGATGGCAGCAGGAAAAGCAAGCTGGGGCCTCCCCTGCCCCCCACCCCCAATCCACCAGGCCTGACTGCCTACAAACCCAGGACAAACCAGGGCAAAGTTCTCTTCTCAGATTCACACTGAAGATTTGCTGGTGCAAATGCTGCTGGTTGCCATCAGCTGCTACCTCCTCGCCCGGGCTCCCCACCCACCACTTCCTCCTGGGTAGAGTAACATAGGCCACTTTGGTCAGGATGGTTCTAACAGAAATATCTGGCTCACCACAGTGCTCTTTCCCCTTCTTTCCACCTGCCAGGAGGTTAGAGGGAGAAACTCCCCGGGGAAGGAGGCTGGGCCTCAGGCGAGGGGAGGTCACTGAGGCCCAGAGGGGCCCAGAGTGGGTGCGGCACAGAGGCCACCACCCTATTCCAAGGCCCTTATGATCTCATGGCTAGGTGCACCAGGGCATTCTAAAGTCCTAGAAACTCTACCTGGGATTTTCCGAGGGAGGGCTGAGCTGAATGCACCACAGGTAGGGATTTTCTACAGATGGCACTCTTGAGTATTCATATGCAATCCACGGGGTCGTGTTGTCACTGAGTGACCTCACTCTGGAGGCTCCGCGTCCAGCCTCTCGGCATATGGTTGATTGTGTCCAAAAGAGCCTATCACTCCGGGCCAGAAGCCTGGGAACCAGTTCCAAGCAGTATTGACTTGCTATGCTGTGCCAATACCTGCCTTCACCTCTCTGGGCCTTGGTTCCCTCCTCCCTACACAGCTCAGGCTTCTGCAGGACTCACCAGTCTGTGAGTTCAAATAGGATCATATGAATGTTAATACTCCCATGTTGTTGCCTTATTACCCCCACCTGCTAGTACAAGATCTCCAGCTTCCTGCAAAGTCTCTGCTATTTCAGAAAGTCTTCAGGGGTATTTCACTTGTACTCCACTCCCTTGTATGGGAGCTGCTCCAGGCTTCACATCTTGGCTGTAATTCTATAACCAAAACCACAGATATAACAATTCTTGGCTATTCGCCCCAAGCCCTTAAAACACCAAAGCTGTGGTGGAGTCAGGAAGAGCCTCTCTCTCTGCTTTGAGTTACCCTAAGCTCCAACTGCTTGGGCTCCAGTGTGTACAGGCTAGTAAAGAAGCTCTTTCAAGTTTTACTTATGACTTTCTCTCTCTCTGTCTCAATCTGTCTCTATCTTCCAATCTCTCTCTCTCTCTTTCTCACTGATTTATGTTCAGGGAGCTGAGCCAGAGCGACCTGCAGAATAGCTATATGTACAGGAAGGACCACTCCCCTCTGACAATTAAAATTTCACTCTGGGGTCAAGGTCATTCTAGTCTGAGCCTCCCCCCCTTAGGGCACTCTGATGCTCCCTCTTGACTAGGTCTTCTATTGGGTCACCCCATTAGTTCTCCAGACACGCCCAGTTGTTCTTGGGCTTCCAAAATGACCAAAACTCACATTTGGCTTACAATGAGGATATTGGTAACCCCAGCCTATCTTATTTGTTGCATCAAGGAAAGTGAACTCCCTGCCATAACTCTCCTTCCCTGGGGAAAAGAAAACCTCTCCCGTCTTCTGACGAGGTAGCCTGAGTCCATCTAGAAAACAAGTCAAACAGAACCTGGAAGACTTGTCATTGCATGACGTGTTTGCACTGTATAATGAGGTGAAGTGTTTGGGGGAAGCAGCAGCCCTGTTGATTATCTAAGTGATAAGGAAGGCCTCCTCCCTGGTCTCACCACCTATCAGACTCTTCTCAATCCTTTCTGCCACTGCTCCTCCACCTGAATGTTCCTGAAGCTCCATCAGGAGCTGTGGATGACTCCCTCTTAATTTAGAGGCTCTTGGCCAAATGTCATGTCGTGGCAAGTCACAGGAACCCATTTGAGCTGACAGAAAGCAAACGAATACATTTGTCTAAAGGATATCACAAAGCCCTTAGAAGAACCCAAATACGATCAGGTCTTCCAGGTGGATGGAAGAGGGCACCCTTCTCCACCTCTTCAACAAGGTTGAAGAAGGTTGCCCTTCAATGCCAACCTCAGCCCAACTTTCCATATACTCTGAATTTCCACGTTCTTAGGAAAGAGAATCTGGCCGAGCTGGGGTGAAATGTTCACCCTACAGTAATCAGCTACTGCCAAGGAAACAGGGTCCTACACAAAAACCAGCAGCTGGCCACCTCACCCTCAACCTCTGAAGTTCTTAGTTACCTGGGCTAACGCTCAATCTTACTCCATAATTTTCTTTAGCTTCATGCCCTACTTTCCCCCCTCAATCTCTCATCAGCCTATCCCCTTTGCCTGCAACGTGCATCCCCATTGCCATTTGTCAAAACCTTCCCAGCCCTGAGGCATCGTGCCAACTTCTTTGTGCCATCCTTTATGATACCTTCGATTAGAAGTGTTGTAACAGGGCACCTGGATGGCTCAGTCGCTTAAGTGTCCGACTCTTGGTTTCAGCTCGGGTCATGATCTTGAAGTCATGATCTTGGGATCATGATCTTGGGGTGGTGAGATTGAGCCCTGTGTCAGGCTCCACGCTCAGCAGGGAGTCTGCTTGGGAATCTCTCTCTCCCCCTCCCTCTGCCCCTCCCTCCTCTCTTTCTCTGTTTCAAGTAAATAAATAAATAAATATCTTTTTTAAAAAAGCGTAGTAACAAAATTTCAGATTTGAAAGGACTCCCAAATATCACCTAATTAAACTTTGGCCTACTGCACAAAAGCCCCTTATATATTACTTCCTATTAAATTTTCAACCAGGTTCTCCCTCCACACCTCTTGAGACTGGATGCTCCTGACTTCCCAAGGAGATCCATTGCGTCTCCTGCAGCTCTGCTTGTAGGAAAATGCTTTCTTATATTACATGCGAGTTTGCTTCTTTGTGACTTCCATGCTTTAGACCTGGTTCTGCCCGGCTGAAATGCCCAGGACAAATCTGTTCTCTTTCTCTTCTGGAAGCCCCTTCAGAAATGTGGACAAGGCTTATGGGTCTCTCTTCCAGGCTGAACATCCTCAATTATATCTAATGTCCCCTATAAGACAAAGTCTCAAGTCCTCTGACCACCCCAGGAAGAACGCCCGCTTCAACGATCCTCCTAAAATCCGGTGCCTTGAAATAAATGCAACAAGGATATTCAAGGAAATACTTTAATTAAAAAAGGAAAAAATAGGGGCACCTGGGTGGCTCAGTTGTTAAGCGTCTGCCTTCAGCTCAGGTCATGATCCCAGGGTCCTGGGATCGAGCCCCGCATCGGGCTCCCTGCTCCGTG